ATGCCTGCAGAAGATCGCCAGCGAATCGACAGATGGTGACTGAGACACCACCTCCATTGTTGAAACATGGTCTTTCTTGCAATATGGCCGCCCATTGTTCGGGTGCGATGCAAGGAAGTGCTGTGAGCACATGGGCGTTATGCCGCCGTGCTCTCAGACACTTCCCCCTCCCCTCTCTCTTGTTATCATATGATACACGCATCATACGCCTAACGTGCCGAACGAGGCAGCAGTGCTCGAACCAACAGCACAACGGGTCGGAACAACCCCAGCTCTATGCTTTGTATGCCAGGCTGAACTTGCTGTACCTGCTCTTGTATGTGAGCAAGGACATCGTTTGTACTACTCCGGATGAGTAGCATTGGCCGAGGGCTGTGGACGGAATTCCTACATAGCCCCATGCATGGGGCCAAATCTGGTAATATGAAGTGTCCCAAAAAAGGACTGCAGCGGCGAATTTGTCGCTCTCCTCGCAAGCGACTTCTGGAAACACGGCATAAGTATTTTTGCATCTGCCGTCGGGTTGTCATGTTTTCTCAGTGTAATCGATTCTTTTTCGTGCCGGGAGCGGCAGGCCGTGCACAGGCCATAGCGAATCTCTTGACTGCCGAACCAAGAAACCTGGCTTGCCACGCAGCCTAACCACACCTCCCTACCAGGTTGCCAGGTAATCTCCTCATCATCCTTCACGTAGTGGCACCAGTCCTTGTACCCGTCTTCGATAGCAGTGGTGTTCTTATTGCTCCCAAGGGTCCCACCCACATGCCAAGGAAGGCAAAAGCAACGAGGCAGCCCTGGTCGCCGTGTGCTCGGGATAATTGTTGATTAATTAACCTTCTATGGGATGAAGCAGTTGGGATTGTCAGCCGATCCCCTGCCACAATCGCGAAGCGCGGCGAAGCTTTTGCAGTTGTTCTTGGTGTGCAAGTCAAAACAAGCAGACAGTTCCAGGCAGAGCGGACATCAATCTGGACGAGTCTGCACGCAAGCACAGTGCAGGTATGAACCAACTCACGCCATCAAGGGACATGAGCGCAACGCTGGATGCCTAAGGGGCTGTATCGAGGGCCTCTGCACGTTTCTGATGTGATTGCTCCGGCAGCTGATCAGCGAACGGCCATAGCCCGCGTGAGCTTGGATCAATCATCCGCGGCCACCGATCGGGAATCCAGTTCAATATCTCACTTGAAATGTTTCGGATGCGCTGATCCATGACGCGCCGCTGTGTGTGATAATCTGCAGTCTGCTCCCACCCACATGGTTACACCACTGCGACCGCCGGTTCCAATAATAACCAACCCCAGAAGGTCGGAATGCTTGCCGAGCTCATCTTTTTTAGTGCGCCGAAGACCCTGTCGAGAGATCCCTGAGCATTTCCATCTGGCGACCCTTGTAAGGTGACATCAGGTTGCCGGAGCGAGAAGCAGGGAGCGCTTGTGCAGTACATGTACGGACAGGTGGCCCGCAAATCATGGTACTTTTGGTTGTCTCAGCCCGGCACCTGTACGAGTTGGTACGCCTCGACGTGGGAGGTACCAAGGCAAGAGAGAAAGCAGCCAACAGAGAGGCCACCCAGTGCTGGGTACTCCAACAACCAACACGCCTGGTTTTCGACCAACATGCCTCTGGTAAATATTTTTAGGCAGATGTCATGAGTGAGCCAACAGTCAATCACACAGCACCAGATGCTCTTTTTGCAACTGCGGCCGAATGGAAGATGACAAGGCAAAGGCGTCGCCAAGCAAGGAGCAGCCTCGGTCCCGCGAAGCAGCAGAGTGTGGCGGTGCCTCTGCCGTATGTATGGGATGTGAACGCTCGTACATGCAAATGAGCAAGGCGCTGGCAAAGCACGTTAGCATGAGGAGAGTGCGACAAGTAAATGAGCCATGGCATCACCTTACAGGCACCGGCCGGCTTGTGAAATGTGAGATTGGCTCCTCCTGGGTGCTCTGTGCGGCCTTGGTGTCTGTACTCCCTGCTTCCGTGGCATGTGCGGAATTACTGCGTGCCGTGGCTCGGGCAGCATGACCCTCTGGATGCCGCTGCACATGCCGGCGGCACCCCATGCCGCAGCCCTGCCCATTGTGCGGATTTGAGGCTCTTGGCTCATCGAATGCTTCGATCTGCCGGGCTGGACTCGTAGGGAGGCATTGGCAGCGAAAGCCGGTCGTAGAGGGGCGTGGGTGTGGACGTAGCTGCCGCACAGACCGGCAAAGCGTCTCAAGGGCTAGCGATTTGTAATGCGGTGGATATCGAGAAGAGAGTCTGTGACGATTCGAGGTGATGGGCCGAACAGGCTGTGCGATACTGAGTGGTTCAACAAGTACGGGATGGACGAGGGATAAAATTACGCGTACCGGAGCTGTAGTTGTAACATGCAGAGAATTCAAAGTACGGTAAGATCGGCTGTCGTCAACAATTTCTTTTTCTGTATTTTATCCATTGTTTTCTTTCCTTCTCTCTCTTTTAGGTAGTAGCTTCCTATACCCGGTTCAGGCCTCCTTCCCAACTGTCGCTCTCGGCACTTGCCAGTCGGTGCTTTCTGTAGAAATCTCGATAGCTTTCCAGGTTCCTTCCCTGTACCTGCTAAAGTGAGAGGCAGTACCTACCTACTATAGATACGACGCACTTGTATGAAATGCAGGCAGGTGCAATGCACGGTATTCCGTTTCCAGCGTCTAGAAAGTCTCCGGCTGCAGTTGCTTCCAATGCTCTTGTAACCTGCAACCTGCAAGTGCCTTTAGTATTGCAGACCAGTGCTGTCGGTACTCCGCATGGGTTAAGGCTGCGCTCCTTCCACTTGGACGGCGTGCCTCGCGAGCTGATCATCTCCTGCCACTCTCTTGACTTCGGCTAAAAAAGACACGCACGAGACGGAGATATTCCAGCGGATATTTATCCAAACTCCAAATCCTCAACTCTGGCAATATGCTGTGACTTATACCAGACGCCCCTTTACATCCCCAAACGACGTCCATCTCCGCGATCCTCCGTCCATCTCCCGTCGCTTCGCTGCCTCCCTGGAATTCCGTCCTTCTGCGGGAGTGACAGACAGATAGACGGTCAGTGAGAGGGTGTGGGCGGTGCGGCTGACTTGCGTCGCTTCATCCAGCTTTGCTGTGCGCACGCCCTCCCAACCAGGGCAAAATGTGGTGTGGCTGCAATCTGTTTCCGTGCGCGCGCGTGTGTTCTGCTGCTTCTCTTGTGCGCAAACCACGCCGCGTCGTCATGGCCCCGGTCAGCCATCAATCCATCTAGCGCGCGACCAGGATACCCCATTGAGTATCAAGACCGCATCTTCCCTGGCCCGAGCTGGTCTTGGCCCTCGTACGGAACGCCAGCCACAGTCGCCAAATCTCCTGGATGCGCAGAGGCGTTTTGGGGGAGTACCGATGCCAGGCCGACCAGTCCCGCCCAGTTGTTGTCGCCTTGGCTACGCCGCATACAGCCGCGGGACCCTTCTTCCGGCAGTGCAGCCCAGCTGTGGCAGCTGTTGGACAGCGTCGGCGAGCAAGCAGCTTATGTCGTGAGACGTTTCTGCTGGCATATGCCCATCAGTCAGGCCAGCCAGGCGTTTGGCAGCTGCGCAAGGCTTATGGCCCGCTCTGGGGATGCCAGGCAGCCAGGACCATCGGCATTCCATGTTCCCGTCATGGGCCACCAGCACCTGAGCATATCACCATGGGCTATGACCCCCAGCAGGACCCCCATGATGGCATGACGACGACGGGTCCGTTCACTGCTAGCAAAGCCAACGATACGCCATATCAGATTATGCTCTCGTATGCACCAAGTACCAGCAGCACTCCAGTCTCTTGGACAAGTCTGCATCCACGGTCCCAGTCTGTAGGGCCGCGGCAACAACACCAAAGTGGACCACCACGCACGTGTGGCAAGGTGGGCTGGGACGCTCCATATCCACAAGTTCAGGTCCGGAGCGACACTATCGAATGGTCCTTTTGGGGACTTCCTGGATCATGAACCACCCCCCCTCCGGCCACTTTTGACTCGAGACTGATACCGACCAACGGCCTAGCCAGATAGTAGTTATTTGCCTTGTATCCACACAGCAGCGCCCATAGGCGTGCGCTTGCCCAGGCTTTCTGTACAAGCACGAATTCCGTCCGTTACAGGCCTCAGCCGTGTCCGGCTCATTGGGAACTGCCCTTGTTGGTCTCGTTTGCCTTTTGGGGTTGCTTCGGTGTATCTGCTCTATTTCAACCGTTCACTTGACTGGACCCTGCTAGCTCCCCTCTGCAACCCTGTCGGCTCCTCAAGACTCTCTTCGTTTTGTGGACAGTGGTGGCCTAAATCTCAAAAGCCACTGATACCCTCCTTTTAACCTCCTCGCCCGCATCTTCCCCATCTCTTCCCCCAGATTCTCAACAAGTCGGTACTTGCCGCTGGACACTCGACTTGAGAACCTTCGAAGAATAGCAACCTGTCTGCTCTCGGCCTGAATTCTTCATGGCTATTTCGGTTTCGACTTCCTGGCTGGATGAATTGTCATAGAACGCCGCTCACCTGATCACTTACAAGCCTCGCGCACGACTCCCAGACCTGGTCTACTGCACTCACTTGACCAGCAAACACTATTTTGGGCGATTCATACGTTGTTGCGTGGAGAAACCTCCCTCTTCGCATCCGGTCTGTGGAGCAACCCGTCAAACACCTTACCACCTGCTTAGCCGTTCCCTTTGGTGCTGGGCGCTTCTTCTTCCTGAAGGATCTCTCTCGCTGCCTCGGAGATGCAACTCTAACAGCCGCCCTTGCTTAAACGAACAGTGTTATTCTTTCTCTCAATGGGTGGACTACCAACTCTAGAATCTTTGCATCGCGTTCTCCCCCCAGATACTCCCCCTGAACTGGTAAGCCCAAGTGCAACGTCGTTTTCTTCCAGGTCGTCGCCACTAGAAGAGCAAGCTGCCTGGGGCCCTCGCGGTTCAGTTCCTTTTGCTGCTGCTTCCTCCATGTCACGTTATGGCAAGGGCTCCGTCGACATGGCTGCCGAGAGTAATACAGATGATGGCCGGAGTCGACAGGAATCAGTTGGCACTTCGTCCGTTGGACAACAGCTTCCATCACTGAGCAGCCTCTTTGGCCCGCCCTCAGCTATGCGACCTCTCAACTCTCCACACACGGAGCGCCATGGAATATATCCTTCGCCTTCTCCCCTGGACAGGCCACGGCTTTCATCGAGTGGAAACCTATCCAGCTCCTACTTCCCGCAGACCATTTCACCTTCTCCGCTGCAATCGAGAAATCTATATGACACTGCCTACAATTACCACGATAGACAGTCCACCCACGCCCCGACATCTTCCTTCCCTGGGCCGCAATCGCCCGAATACTCAACCCACAATCACATCGGCCCAGATGCGCGTTACGAACCCGAAATGCCGCGCAAGTGGTCCGCCTACCGCGAGGACAGCAGGCAAGACTATCAGGCGGCTGGATCCCGCGACTCATCTTACCTACAAAGTCAAGATAAACTCAGGCTTCATCTCCCAGGACAGAAGGATCCAGCCCACGATTATAGCGAACGGCGACCCAGTCAAGTTCCCAGTTCGGACGGCAACCCGCCATCGACTTCGGCTACCTCCATGCCCTCTGATATTGCTGTTTCCAAAGATGGCCTGGGTCCCAAAATCTGGACCGGCACACATTTTCTCCCACGATTTGTGCGAGCAGCAGAGGTACCTGGCGAAGGCATGTGCTATTTCTACGACGATGGAAGCCACTGCAAGACCGTCATTGACGGCGAGGCGGTAAATGCTCACTGGGGTGTGACCAAGGCGGGCAAGCCTCGCAAGCGACTGGCTATTGCTTGCGTGACATGCAGGGAGAAGAAGATCAAGTGTGACCCGGACTATCCACGATGCGTCCAGTGCGAAAAGTTTGGTCGTATCTGCAAATTCAAGAATGCGTAAGTGCATGCAATTTGCTTGCCTGTGGCCACACGTTCTCGGCATGGTGCTTACGGTGCTTCTAGACCTAGAGGGGGTAATAACACATCGCCATCGACGTCCCCCGTCGAGCTCGACGATGGCCGACAACTTGAAGCAGCTGATCTACGGCGTTCGATCAGCGATGTAAGCTCTCCTAGATCGCCGCGAGCAATGCAACCTCCTTCTCCAGATCGCGGATACAGCAAGAGGCTGAAGTTGGGCCCCGAAGCGTACATTTCTAACGGTGAACCGCCCGCGTCCTTTAATCGTCGATTGGACTACCTCAAACCGCGAATCGCCGAGCCGGCACCGCCACCACTTCTCCCCGAGCCGTCCAAGATCCCCGATGATGTTCTTGGCCGTGCTTGGCGGACAGACCCTTTCGCCTCGACCCCTGACTTGATCACCAGTGCTCTAAGCAGGTTCTTCGCCAATGTGGACAGCACTATGATCCTCCAGTTTCTTCCGGAGGAGGTCTTCCAGCGCTGGGTCGTGACTTCTGTTGGACAAAAGTCTCCCGAAGACTTGATGCTCCTCTACAGCATCCTCGCTGTTGGCTCTGCGCTCTGCGGCGATCCCAAGCATATTGCTTTCGAATACGCCCAGGTGGCTCACTATGCGCAAAGGATGACAGGGGTCCAGTGCCTACAGCTAGTGCAGAGCAAGATTCTCCTTGCCGTGTACTATATCTCGACCTGCCGAGCCCGAGAAGCCGATGAGCTGATTTCTTCAGCAGCGGCTGGCGCTGCGTGCTTGCAGCTGAGCTTGGAACTCGACCACTCCCGGGAATCGGTCATGACTGTGTATCCTCTGGGGCTAAACAGGACGGGCTATGCTGAAGCTCGCAGGAGGACTCTTTGGTCACTGTTCATGCTGGAGAGGCTTGGCGGGTTATTTCCGGAGCGCCCGCCGATGACCAATGCAGAGGACATTTACATTCGACTCCCTGCCGACCTTAATAGCTTCGAGAAGCAAGCCGAGTCCCACGCGCGAACCTTTGACCCGTATTGTGGCCGTGACGTGTCCGACGAGCGATCGTCAGACACCACCGTCACGGGCTACTATCTCGAAATGGTGCACATCTGGTCGGACTGCCAGGCCTCCATCTACAGAATGGCTTCTAGACGGACTTCCACCGAGGCCGACACCAAGCTACAGGATCTCGTCAAGAGAGCCAAGAACTGGGCTGCCTCGCTCCCCTCTCGTATGACGTTTGGCGGCGCAAACATTGAGTCGGCTGCTTTTACGAGAAGCACAGGTTCTTTTCTCAGCATGCATTTTCTTTACCACCATACTATGATCGAGTTAAACCGACACCGCTACGGAGCCGGCCAGCTACCCAAGGATGTCCAGTTGGGGCATTCGGCCGAATGCCGAGAACACGCAAGCCGGGTCCTTGAGATGCTGAACAGCCTTGAGCGTATCCTGAGGGTCAGGTCTGCACTGCTGAGCATTCCTCCTCCTGCCATGGCCGTCGCCGTCACGGAAGCTGTCGATGTTTTGACTGCTAGTGGTCCGATGGCTGTCCTGGGCGAAGTGATTGATCGAGTTCGAATTGCCCAGTCGGCTGTTGACAAGATGAAGGACGTCTGGGAGGCATCCTCAAAGGACGGTCTAGCCATCCACCGGCGTCTGCAAAAGCTGAACCGCATTCGCGAGCTAGGATCGCGGCCGCCCAGCCCTATCCAGGGCTATCGCTTGCTTCCTCTGTCAGATGACACCAAGGAGAAGGAGCTCAGCCACTGGCAAATATTCGATCCTCTCGAGCAAACATTTCCTAGAGACATGGACGTGATTTACGTCGGATTCGACTAGAGGACCGGGTCTTTGGCCTCATGAGTGACTTGTTCCATCCCTTTTCTGTATATATTTACCTCTACGTTCTGCCTTTAGCGTTTTCTTGTTTCTTGGCTTTTCTTCTGGCCTTTTCCTGGTTTTCGAAATGAGCCTGGTTTTCGGAATGTTATTAACGTGTCATGCATGGTATAGCGTTTAGATCGCATTTCAGGAGGCATCGAGATCAGGGCGACTTGAATCGGATGACATGGGATGAGGAGTTTGGGCATTCGATACATCAAGGAAGCCTTGGTTGTGAACCTGTATATTGAATGGGAGGCTACTGAATCTGAATGGCCTTTTACGTTAGATGCCGTATGTCTATATTATGCCTTTGACTTTTGATATTCGCCCATTCTATTTTGAGCACTTACACTTGGGATCACATGCAAAAGCATTACACGTATTTTACCTACCGTTGTCTTACATTCAGGGTCCATTTGTTCGTTGTTCACGCCTTGACCCCTATTCGCAGGAGTCGAGGCTCGTCACGTGACAAGTCATGTGACATTGATCATGGGCCTTTAGCATGTTCTTAAAAGGCCTTGGAGCTTGTGAACCACCTGTATAAGAGCCCGGAATTGAGAATCGCAGGATAGGACTACGGATAACTCTCAAAATCTTTACTGAAAGCTCCTTGGGCGTACAGCCGCAGCATAAACGGCATATCGACGCATCCCGATTGTGAGAGAGAAACGGCGAAGAGGGACCCAAGGAGCCATCACAATGTCGTTCTAGGACAACGCCGTCTTTTCACATCTCACTCTCATTCAAGACACTTTCACATTGCGGCACTGATTTTTTTTCTCGAGCATTCGCCGTGAAGGAACCAAAGAAGAAGATATGATGCGATGAGCTGTGTTGCTTTACACAATGGTTTTCCCAGATAAGCCTGTGGCGCATCTTCTCGGCTCAAATGGTTCGTTTTTTCAAATCAAGTCTCATTCTTTGCGCGCCCATCCACGAAACATCCAAGCTGACGAACAACAACTCTCCAGGCCCCGTCCATGCTGTAACCTATTCAGCCTCTCCCGGAACCTACATCCTCACCGGGTCCGCAGACCGCTCCATCCGCCTGTACAACCCCTTCCCCAGCACGGCCGTGCCCGAGATCCGGCCCAGCGCAAAGCCCGCCATCCCGCAAGGCCGCCTCATCCAGACGTACGCAGCGCACGGCTACGAGGTGACGAGCCTGGCCGTCGCGTCCGACAACGAGAGCTTCGTGTCCGGGGGCGGCGACCGGGCCGTGTTCCTGTGGGACGTCAGCCGGGCGGTGACGACGCGGCGCTTCGGGGGCAGCGGCGCGGGGGGCCACTCGGCGCGCATCAACTGCGTGAGCTTCGCGGGCGACGGGGACTCGCTGGTGGCGAGCGGCGGGTTCGACACGACGGTGCGGCTGTGGGACGTGCGCAACGCGAGCGGCTTCAAGCCGGTGCAGGTGCTCGGCGAGGCCAAGGACTCGGTGACGAGCCTCGCGGTCAGGGGCGCCGAGATCATCGCCGGCAGCGTGGACGGGCGGGTGCGCAGCTACGACGTGCGGATGGGCAAGTGCACGACGGACGTGGTGGGCGCGAGCGTCGTCAGCCTGGACGTGACGCGGGACGGGAAGGCCATGCTCGTGGGCTCGCTGGACAGCAAGCTGCGGCTGATGGACCGCGACAGCGGGACGTGCCTGCGGGCGTACTCGGATCCGCTGTGGAGGAGCGAGGAGCTGCGCGTGCAGTCGCTGCTGGGCGGCAGGGAGAAGTACGTCGTTGCGGGCGACGAGATGACGGCGGCGGCGGCGGCGGCGGACGATGGCGGCAGCGATGGCGCGGGGAGGATCTGGGCGTGGGATCTGCTCTCGGGCAAGGTGGTCGCCAAGGTGACGGTGCCGTGGGGCCCGCCGGGCTACGAGGCGAGGAAGAAGACGGTGGGCAAGGACGGGAAGCCCAAGGTGCGGAACAATGTCATCAGCTGCATGGCGTGGCGGGAGGGAGGCTGGGGAGACCAGTTCTGCGTCGGGGGGACGTCTGGCGTGGTCACGGTGTTTGGGGCATTATGAGAGCATGAGCCATGGAATGAGAGGCTACGGCGAGCTATTTGCTATTTGTTCTTTGCTTATAATTGGGATTGATTTCTTGTCTTCATTTGCCTTTTAATCAGTCTGCTATGCTGTGTATCATGATGGACTCGATATCGTACAAGATGGTATATGACCATGTAAGAATAGCCACGCCGCCCTAATTAACAACGGGGATTAGATGGTCGATGGAACAAGTTTTTGTCTTGCGCCATAGCGTCTCGCAAGGTGGTGAGAGCAGTTCTAGAAATCTTATATTGTCGTGCAGGTACTTCCTGACACAGAGTGGTGCAAACTGCGTGTGTCGAGAGCGCGTGGGGGTCGATGATGGGTGTATAAAATGAAGTGCTGAAGCCTGGCGGTTGCTCAGCCCATGCCGGCATACTTGAACCAGTTGGGCCGGCAGTCTTCCCGGTGGAGGAACGGCTCGCCGTCTGTTAGCCGACCAGTAACGCAGCCCTTGCACTTGGGCGAGTTAGGACAGTTGAAGAAGGGAATGTGCTGGTAGCCGATGTCACGGAACCTGCAAGCAAGAATCAGTAAGCCAGGCCAACTGGAGAAGGTGACAGAGGGGCAAACGGAAACGCACCAGTGGATTTTGCTCTTGTCCTCAAACAGACCCAGGGCAATGCTGTGAACGGGCGCGTCGCCCCATCGCTCGTAGAAGAAGCCTCCCGCACGGTCGAGATGCTCGAAATAGTCCTCATACACCTTGCTCCTCCAAAACTCCATGTCCGCAACCTCAAAGTTGCTCCAGAAGTGGCACGTGGAGAAGCCCTGGGCCTCCCTGTTGTGCTGCGGCCGCCGAGTGTCGTCGATAACCCACTTGATGGCGCTGTGCTCGTGCAGGTAGTTGGGGTGGTCGGCGAGGAACTTGGCCGTCTGGGGCCACAGCGTGGGCAGGGTATGCGGGTCGTCGTAGAGGTTGATGGTGAAGCCGTACGTCTTGTTGTTGTCCTGCATGTAGCGGAAGACGTCGTAGTCGACGTCGCAGAAGAAATGGACCTTGGGCTCGACGCGCCAGTAGTAGCGGACGTCCTTGAGGGCGGGATGCTTGTAGAACATGCCGCTGTTCCAGCGGCACATCTGGTGGTACGACATCATGTTGGCATACTGGACCCCGTTCTTCTTCAGCACGGCGGCCGACTCTTCAAAGATGGCCGGGTCGATCCACGATGGCGCATCCCAGTGTTCCTTGGGGATGAGTTCTGCAAGATTGCTGCTCGTTAGCCCCGGGGTTGCTTGGCAATATGTACGTCCTGCTGGAGGAACAGGCCACCTACCGTAGTTGCAGGTTGCGTTGGTCACGGCGCTTGTCTTTTTCTTGAACTCTTCCGAGAAGGGCACGTCGTTGAAAAAGGTCCACGGGTAGTTGAACTTGCTGTTCCACGTCCGCTCAAGATCCACCATGGATGCCACCATGTCGTCCACCTCTTCATTGCGGACGAGGGCCAGCAGGGTGGCGCTGGCTCGATCGGTGTCTTTGGCGTCGGGCGCATACCGATCAGAGGTTCGTACAAGGACTCCCTCGGGCTCGCCGGTGGCTATACAGATGACAGGTCAGTTAGCATGTGAGGATGTAGGTGCAGCTGCAATGCTTCGTCATGCATGTACCAATACTTACGGTCGAGGAGGGGATCGCGCTCAAAGTTAATGTACCGATCGCCCGGGCTGTTGTATGAAGACGAAGGCCTGAGAAGCTGGTAGAGGAAGAAGCACCACAGGACGGCGGCCAGGCCGCCCAGGGCTCGAACAGGCCGGGCAATGGCCATGATGCCGGGCCGAGGACGTGAGCGGGATGAAGGCGTAGGAGTCGCGGAAGGCCAATAGCGAGGCTGCTGGCTCAACTGTCCATGGGCAGATCTCGTTGGTCGGCTGCGTCGGAGCGAGGAGAGACAGACGAGTACCGCAGATCGAGTCTTGACAACAACGGCTATCCGGTTCGGCGAGGCATCCAAAACCGTCTCTGCTGGACGTCGCTATTCGTGCATTGGATCTCTAGAGTTGCGAAAGGGGCACTAGAACTAACAAGACGTGGGAGGTTGCGTCGCTTTATGCCGCCAGGCGCTAACAGAAAAATCGCCCGCCGATAAGAGGTTCAGACGCTGGCTTCCCCCACAGACGCGCTACAGACGCGCTACAGGGGGGGTTGTTTAAGTGCCGCCAGCGTCTTGCTCCAGCACATGCAGCAGTACATACACCAAGCTTCGACAGATCAACATTGGATCGTCAACCTCACACATCTCCCATTGCTTCATGGCTCTCGGCTCCGCACCTCGATCGGCTTCGGTTGGCTGCCACTGCTGCTAAAGATGCCCACCGCGGGCCATGGCCTACGCCGCACAACTTGGAGCCCTCACTGAGGAGCTCATCGAAGCCGTCACGGGGCTTTCTCGCAAGGTGGGGGAGGGAAGCAGAAGAAGAAGCCATGCGATGATGTTCAGGGCTGACCGATTGAAATGCATCCTTTCAGACTCAGACAAGATCGAGGCGCTACAAAGCCATCTACGACGCCACGCTGCAGAAGATCAAGTCGCAGGCATATCTCCGCATCAACCAGTTTGAAGTCCAGCACACCCTTGACGGGCTTGAGGAGCGCTTCCGCGTCAACAACCGCGATGACCTCGCCGACGCATTCCGCGACAGCCTGGATCGGCTGGAAGAACACGAGACAAAGTGGCACCCAGAGATACTGGCTTTGCTCTTAGGCTTGTCCGACCAGCCGACATTCAAGACGAAACTCAGCGACCTGGATGCTGTGCGACAGCGTGAGGAACGGCAAGCACAGGTCTTTAGCTGGGAAGACGTCGCGCGTGAAGATGGCTGGGATGAGGACGACCTTCTCTGGCAGACGATCGATTACAGCCGTAATTCCGACGACGATGACGACGACGATGACGACGAACCTGCCCAAGATGAGCTCGACGACGAAACACTCCTTGACGTGCCGCTCATTTACGCCTACGATATCGATCATAGTCTGCACAAAGAGGGCAGAACTGCCACCGACTGCATCATCCAGCCCGAGGATACGGAGCTGCTCAAGGCGCTTCAGTCGACGCAGCAATGGCGGACCGAGGTACCCCAAAAAGACGACATAGGGGCCGTCCAGAAGATTGCCATTTCGGAGACGCATATCGTGAGGGAAATCCTCTTCATGCTGCAGGGATTGAAAACGTCCCTTTTCAACGACACCACTGGCTTGCCGGACCCAAATTACTATATGCAGCACGTCAGTTGGGAAACGTACAAGGCTGTGATCCACGGCATTGCAGAGTCTGGCTGGCGCATCCTGCTGCTTCGGCGGTTTGTGAGCCACCCGCAGGCCATCCCGCATCTCCAGGCGTTCCAAGACTGCATCGCAAAACGACTGCGGGAGTTTGACATCAAGCTGTCGGAAATCGAAGCTCGCCTAGCTGCCCCTTCGGACGAGGTCATGTTCACGCTGTTGTCTGTCCACGGAGAAATTGCGCCTTGGTTGCAGCCCCTGCTTGTCTTGTCCAACATCATAGCGCAGATTCAGGAGACGGCCAGTTCGGATACGTTCCGGTATCTCGAGCTCCTGTACGACGAGACGACGCTGGCACAGCTCAGGGGCGACACGTCCACGTACGAGTTTCTTGCCCGCATCTTCCTCGACTGCTTCCAGGTCTACATTCGTCCGATCCGCCACTGGATGGACGAAGGGCGCATCTCGTCGGAAAACGAAATCTTTTTCATACTCGAGAGTCCCAACAAAGTGCCCATGAGCAATATATGGCAAGATCGATTCAAGCTCCGCCAAACCGCAGATGGCACATTGCATGCTCCAAAGTTCCTCAAGCCCTCTGCACACCGGATATACAATGCCGGAAAGAACATTGTTGTGCTGCGACTGCTGGGCAAGTATGAGCTGGGCAGCTCGTCTCTTGTCGAGGAGCCGTCTCTCGCTTTTGAGCACGTCTGCCCGGAAGGACTCGCCCTCGCCACGTTTCCAGACCTCTTTGGTGCGGCCTTTAATCGATGGATCCAAAGCAAGTATCGCAAAACATCAACTACGCTGAAGGACGCTCTATTTGAACAGTGCGAGCTCTCCTCGTCATTGGATGCGCTGCAGGCGCTCTACCTCATGTCGGACGGACATGCCGCTGCCTCTTTCACGGATCAGTTGTTCGATAAGCTGGAAAACTTGAACCCGGTGTGGTATGATCGGTTTGCCCTCGTCGGGACTGCTCAGGACGCCTTTATGCCGCTGGTGGACGTCAGCCGCCTATCTGTGAGCGTTCACGTCCAGGGCACGCGCATGACGGTGACGGATGCTCGAGGCTCGATACGGGCTGCTCTACCGCATCTTAAGGTCGACTATCGACTTTCATGGCCGGTTCAGATTGTGGTCTCGGAAGGGAGCATGGAAAAGTATCGAGCCATCTTCACCTTGCTCCTGCAGCTCCGACGATCGATTCACATCCTCCACAAGCCCAAGATACTCGACAACTACATGACCGACATGGAAGTCTGGGACGAGCGCGCCCTCTTCTACACCGCGCGCGGGAAGCTACTTTGGTTTTGCACCACGGTCCAGTCATACCTGGCAACGCTCGTCCTGGAACCCAACGAGCGGGCAATGCGCCGCGAGCTGATGATGGCCGAAGACGTCGACTCCATGATCTCGGTGCACGCCGCCTATCTGGAGCAGATGATTGAGCAGGCCTGTCTGGGGAGCAAGCTGGCGCCCGTTCGCGAGCGCGTGCTCGACGTCTTGGACCTGGCCATCAGCCTGGAGCTGGCGCGCGAGGGGAAAGCCGCGTATGACGGAAGCGCGCCTTCTCACCTCTTCAGGAAAGAGGATGAGAGCGGTGAGGGAGAGGAGGTGAGGGAGGAGGGGCTGACGAGCGAGGATTACATTGAATGGCTGGAGGAGATCAACGCCGATTTCGAGGAGCATCTGGGCTTTATATGTCTGGAGCTGAAGAGTGCTGCGAGGGCGTCGAGTGATGCGCAGTCTGCCAAGTGGGATATCTTGGCGGATATGTTGCAAGCAGGCGATTTCAGAAACAGGGGATGACGAGATTATTTGGTAGAGAGTATGGCGAGCAGCGTAGATATACCCCTATGAAAAGAATTGTTCAGTGGCTGGCGAATCGAGAAGAAGGGGCTTTTTCTTATATTTTACATACTTCTCTTCCCCCTATGTAAAGCCCTTGTTCAGCTGGTCCGCGATAAACTTCATAATGGGAAACATCTCCTCCCTGTCCCTCGGCATGGCCACCTCCCTCCTCCTCCACCGGACGACCCTCACGTCGGCAAACTCCCGCCTCACGGCATCCGCCTCGTCGTCGTCCAGCTGGCACACCAGCACGGGGGTCCGGCTCTTGTCGCGGCTGCTCAGCGACGGCACCATGGACTGCGGGAGCGGTCCGCCGATGGACACGACGCCCTTGAACGTTTTGCCCAGTTTCTCCTTCTCCTCCCGAGTAGTAGCAGTAGTAGTAGTAGTACTCGCGCTGCAGTCGTCGGAAACGTCGACGACGCGCTCAATGGTGCGGAGGCGAGACGCAAGGCCCAAGGCAAGCGATCCGCCCTGTCCGAAGCCAAAGAGTAGAATGTCGTTCATCTCCCACCCGCACTGATCCAGCAGGACCTCCTTGACGAGCTTCTGCATGACGAGGCGCGCGGCCTTGTCGAAGCCTGGGTCGGGATCCAGGTCGCCCGTGTTGGAATCGACGTTCAAGTCATCGCCCCAGTGGAAATGCTGCCCTTGACCCTCGCCCTCACCACCTAGGCCTGCGGGAAGGGGCGCGGTGCCGCGGACGGAGATGGCGAGGACGCCGGGGAGGGCCATGCTGCGCGCAAAGGTCGCAAAGGGGCGCTCGTTGTCGCCGAGGCCGTGGAGGAGGATGAGGATGGAGGTGGTGGACTCGCGGGGGGAGGGGAAGTGGAGGGCGTGGGGGAGGAGGGGGGTGAGGGGGGAGAAGTCTGCCTCTGAGGGGATGCGGGGGGGCATTTTGCTTTTAGAAAGGAATGAGTTGTTGCTGTTGTGGTGAATGGCGATGTTGGTGATGGGGATGAGATGGAAGATGGGGATCGATGGATGGGGGGTTTGAGATGTGGGAGGTGATAAAGCTGGGATAGTGGGTTGGTGGAAGACCTGGGTCAGATGAGTTGTAGATGTGTGTGTATATATATATATATATATATAGGAATATATCACTCTGGTTGAGGAGGAGTTGCTTATACGATGTTGTACAATGCTAGATGAAGATGATTGTTCAAGGTTGATGTAATTCCCGGAGCGGAGAGGGTCATGAATAGCTCGGAACGGAGCATTGTCCCGGCGCCGGAGGGGATCCACAATCCAATCACCAAAAGCTTCACGGCCCGACAAACTCACATCAAATGTCAAAGGGCAGCAAGCAGTCGGTGAAGCAAACGAATTACTTTATGGGGTCATTGACAGAACCAGAATCGTGAATTGATGCCATTTTATCCAGGTTGATTCTACATGTACAACACTTCAGTCCACATAGCTACATTCATATAGTTATATATCATATCAGATGCAAAACAAGCTCGAAGGTATCCAGTAACACCAAACATCAGAAAAATCATCGCCGCACAACGATATGCTCATCCACGTCCCTTCCCTTGACTCGAGACGGCCCGGCCTTCATCTTGGTCCACTCGCCGTCCGCCGACCAGATGCCCGCCTTGGTGTAGTCCCCGCTCGAGCTCCCCAGCATGTACGCAAACCGAAAGTACTCGGGCAGCCCCAGGGTGGCGTTCCTAGACCAGACGAAGCTGTCCTGCCGGTCGATGATGTCGTCAAAGTACCCCCGGAAGCGCTCCACGTCGTTGACGAGGATGCTGATGCCGTCGTAGACCTTGCTCGACGGCTGGTTCCACGTAAAGGTGATGTTGGACGTGCTGTGCGGGCCTTCGCCGAGGTGGATGATGGGCTCCGGGATGGTCGGGAGGAGAGTCCCCTTTTGCGCGTCGCCCTGCAGGGCGGCGGGCGTTTCCAGCACGGGGTCGAAGCCCCAGCGGGCGATGCCGTTGATGAACAGCCCGACCAGGAGGCCCTGATAGAGCAGTGACGGTCGGGTCTGCAGGCTCGTGCCCGGCAGCAGCAGGAGCGCCAGGACGTAGTGGTGGATGCGCAGTTGGAGCCCCGGCAGGGTCAGAGAGATGATGATGCAGAAGATGAAGAGCGCGTACAGCTTGATGTACTTGATGAACCGTCCCTCGTTTCGGAAGAAGAAGACCTGCGACAGGGCGATGAAGAACAAGATGATGACAATGACGGCCAGGGCAGCTCTCGCGCCGGGCTGCTGATCGAGGTCGTGCTTGTTGAGGCGCTGGATGGGGATAAAGTCCAGCGTGTAGTTGGTGAGGGCGCCCACCCAGCAGGCGCCCAGCCAGAGGACCGTCTTTTCGATCTGGGCCGTCAGGCGGTTGAGCGTGCGGCGGACGCCCATCTTGTCGTACATGACCCAGGCGCAGAACATGGCCGGCACGAACTTGCCCAGAATGTTGGAGAAGAGATCTGTCACCGTTGAGTGGCCCGGCTGGTCGAGCGACATGCCGACGGCCCAGAACATGCCGGCAAAGGTCGGGAAGAAGAAGAGCGCGGGCGAGGCGGTGCAGAGCGACAGCACGCCGGTGAAGACGGCGGACAGGGCCAGGATGGACCACCGCTCGTCCTTGGCCCGGCACTGGATGTCGGGCACGAAGCGGAACGACAGCGGAAAGTACGAGTCGAAGCCGACGCTGCGGATGCCGTGCCGCTGGGAGGCGACAAAGTCCTGCTGCTGGCCGACGAGCTCGACGACGCCGCAGCCGCCCTTTTCGTTGGGGAAGAGGCCGGCGTGGATGGCCGAGGCGCAGATGTACGAGTCGCCGCGGTACGTGGCCAGCTCGGGCTCGACGTCGCTCGACGGCCCGCCCACGACCAGCGGGCGGTAGATGACCTCCTGGTCGCCGACGGCGCGCGGGTTCAGCACGTGGTAGCTCTCGCACGAGGCCGGGCACACGAAGGCGAAGCCGCTGCCGTTGAAGGGCCTGCAGTCGTTGCCGTCGAGCCCGCAGCCGTTGCCGGCGCTCCAGTAGGTGTCGCCGCAGCTGATGGGCTGCGACTGGCCCCAGCCCTCGACGGTCGACTCGATGGTCTCCTGGCGCTTGACCAGCACAAAGGTGACGAGCCACAGCGAGAAGTAGAGGAACAGCGCCCAGGTGCGGTAGGCCTTGGGCAGGAAGCGGTCGACGAGCCGCAGCGGATACTCCTGCACGGCCGGGAGCAGCGGCTTGATCCGGTACGGCTGCGGGTTCGGGGGGCCTCGAGACCACTTGGCAAAGGCCAGCAGCAGGCGGCGGACGGGGTAGGGGATCCTGCGCCAGCGCTTGGACGAGCGCTCGTCCTGGATGAAGCGCGGCGTGGGCGCATTGCCGTCGCTGCTGCTGTTGTCGTCGACGACCTCGAGCGGCGCCGGTGCTGTTGTTGTTGTCACTACTGGCGCTGCTGTTGCTGCTGCCGCTGGCGGCTCGAGCGGCGCATCGGGGTGGTCAATCTCGGTGATGACGGTGTTAGTCGTGGTGTCGACGATGCCATGGCCGGCTGCCGCGCCGGGCTGGTTGTTTCGCTCGGCGTCGTCCTTCATGAGTGGCTCGCTTTCATCGTGGTATGGCTCGAAAGGTCTCACCATGGCGGGGGAGGAGGAGGAAGAAGGAAAAGAAGAGAAGAAGAAGAAAGAGAAGGAAGAGGAAAGGCTGATCTTTTACGTTTTGTGTTGTTCTCGGAATAGAAATCCAATCCAACGCAAAACGTAAGAGCCGGGGCTACTAGCTGTAACAGGTATGTCTGTCTGTCCGTAAGGTATGTATGTCTGTATGCACTCTGTAAGCTCTCGGGCTTCTTGTCAAGCTCCGCCAGCCACTGAAAACGGAGCTCCCCCCAAGCTCAAAACGCGGCCAGCTCAGCCTCTTAAAGTATAACGGACTGAGGGAGGGAAACCCGAGCATCTGGTGGGTCGGAGCAGGCCAAAGCTCCGGAAGCTCGGGAAGGTTTTAAATGGACGATGGAAGGGTACCTTATGGAGGGGGATTGACGGAGTAAGCGGCACGCGGCCGGGCTTATGGGGTGTGATTGGGTGTTTGTCGCTCGATCACGCGCTGCCCGAGGCTCTCTCAATGGCTCTCTGAGGGGATCGCGAATCGCGCTCCGATGGGCAGATTGCAGGATTGGAGATGCGATTGAGCGGTGCGCGACCCAGGCATCAACTTGCAGCCGCCTTTCTCAGCCTCGTTCAGAGTTTCTATATGTACTACTAGTCTGACGGATGCGGTCAGACTATCCTCAATGACTTTCAGCTCATGCACCCCAGCTCAGCTCAACGGAGGAGCAAAAAGCAAACAAAAAAAGGAGCAAATACTAGCAGATGCATGCGCCGCCATCGTTACGAGTCCACAAGTCCTCTCTCGCCAACTTCCCATTCTTCATCTCGCTAACAGAAGACGTTCAGCCGGCAATTGGACGTGATGATCCCTTGGCACTTTATGCCCATCCAGCAAAGGGGTGTCATCATCAAAGGTCCGGCCGGCACTGGAACTCAATGGCTGCAAGAGGTCAAGCGCAATTGAGATTACTACTAATTATCGGGCCAACATCGGCAAGCGATAAGGCGCGCGGGCTCTTATCGGCCAGGCACCGCAAGAAACGCCGAATTGTGTGAATCACATGTACAAAGTACGAACGAAGATGGGGGCGTCTGTGAAAGGTTCATTGTGATGATTGAATACAATACTTGATACTTGTCGCCAGCATCTCTCACTCAGCCATTTGACGCATAAGCTCTGGAGTTGAGGACTCTTCATTCTCTCGCGAGGCGTACTTTGATTCTTCATATACCTCTGTTCGCGTTATAGACTTCATTGCTCGTTCTTTTTCATCATCTCATTTTTCGTCAACCTCCTCACCCTAGAACAGAACAGCCTCAAAATGAGCGCTTCAAATCGCGACGACACCCCCGAAATGGCTGGCCGCAAAATATTCGAGCTCGTGAGCTCTGCAGCCCTCGACGGCTCTGCAGCACGACTGGGAAGGCTCTCTCTCCCCGGCAAAAAGGCCATGGACACGCCGAACTTTTTCGCCCTCACCTCTCGCGGGGCGGTGCCCCATCTCACTCCAGATAACCTCAAAAGACACACTTCATTATCTGGAGTGTACATGGCACTCGAAGACTGTAGGTCTTTTCCCAGTCCCGTAACTATACTGGCACTCCTTGATCTGACACCGGGTGGATAGTCATTGAGAAAAAAGAGCCTCCTGTATACCAGACTCCCGGCGGCGATGCTTCACGCCGGCTACACCAATTCACAGCCCTGCCCCCGAATCACATTTCCATACTTGGTCCGCGACGCTGTCCGGCCGTAACAACACCGTATGGGAACACGCCCAAGGCAATCACCGTCTTCACTTGCACCGGCTTCCGCAGTGTAACGGTTCCCGAATATGCGTCCGCCGTGCGGTCGCTGCAACCCGACATTGTGCTCCCCATGGCCGATCTGCTGCACACCAGCGCAACGCCTCCGTCGAAAAAGCTGGTACGCATGACGGAGCGGACGGAAGTGTGGCTGGACGAATTCTTGGACAGACTGGGCTCCTCGCCCAAAAGCCCCGAACCCCTGGGGAGCTCTGTGTTTGCTCCCGTGCTCTCGGTCGAGTATCCCATCCAGTGGGACTATCTCAGACATCTATCGGAAGACGTACTCGATAAGATAGAAGGATTAGCAGTCTATGGCACGAATCTGCTCCCCGAGCTCGCCAACTACCCTCCGCTGACACCTCTTCCCAAACTATCCATGGACCCTCCCAAAACCCCCCACGAAGTGCTGCGTCAGATTTCCCTCGGCATCGACATTTGCACAATTGGCTTTGTGAACGGCACCTCCGACGCCGGCGTCGCCATGACATTCTCCTTTCCGCCGCCGAGCGTCGAGGGCGTACAGCCCCTCGGAATCAACATGTGGTCCCCAGAGCACAAGGTCGCCGTCGTACCGCTTCTGGAGGGCTGTCCGTGTTACACATGCACGAAGCACCATAGGGCATACATCCACCACCTGCTCAACGCAAAGGAGATGCTCGGCTGGAACCTGCTGCAGATCCACAACCACCACGTCATTACCGAATTCTTCGCAGGCATTCGCGAGGCGCTTGCGAGAGGAGGACAGGCTGCCTTTGAAGACGTGGCGCGCAGGTTTGCGGCCTCGTATGAGCCTGCGCTGCCGGAGGGAACGGGTGAAAGACCCAGGGCGAGGGGGTACCACTTCAAGAGCGAGGCGAGCGCGGACAGGATCAACAAGCCGGCTTGGGTAGACTTGGACAAAGAGGCGTCAGCGAAGATTGCAAGCCTTGAGGAGAGTAACACGCCTGGTGGTGAGAGCCGGGATGAGGTGACCCTGGTGGTTGATGTGGAAGCGGCTGCAGCAGCGCTGAGTATATCTTAGACTTCTAGACATGAACTACGTTGAAACTACCTGAAAGAAGGAGGGGTTGATCTTCTTGTGACGTCTTCATTGGTCTCCTGGCTATTGTGGAAATTTCCCGCGAGGAGTGTATAAAGTACCTAGGTAGATGTATTTTATGAAGAACTGGACTGTATAATCTGGAGTATGTGAGGGGAACTGAAAAATGTGTAGCCACCGTTTTTGCCACTTCTATCTGATGGTCCAGATATTGAGGCATAGTTGAATCGGCTGAGAGTACCGCTGCTTTCCTCTACCTATACGGAGCTTTGGTGTAGAACTGGTTGAAGCATCTTGATATTAGCGTTCGTAAGGGATGTATCTTCTCCTAGAACAAGCTTGCTCAAGGTAACAATTCGACATCAAGACTATGGACCGGTGGCCGGGGCTAAAGGTCAAGGTGTGCGTGGGTTCCAGCCTCGGTCAACGGATTGAGAAGAGGTTAGCCTCCAGTTTGCCCGGAGAATGTCGACTGGTTCGTCACTGCCACCCACTTATTGACGCCCATGGAGATATGGCTCTGGCCGAGAGCGCGAATGCACGGAGAAAGCGTGTTGGTCCAGCTGCGGATGCAATGCAACCCTGGGAAGATGCAAGTCGAAGAAGTTGTTGTCATCACTGTTACTGTACGAGTATCAAGCCTGCTGACGCGACCTTGAGCTATCGATTTCTACCCATGCGCACAATGCTTGGAACAGAGAGAGATCATATCAAGATTTCTCGTCAAATTGAACCTTGACTGTCGACTTATACCTGTTATAGGAATAAGAAATAAGCATACAAATAACAATAACAGAAGTCCTCACCTCAGTGCCTGCCGTTCTGCGGAGTCCATGGCGAACTTTTGATCTTCTGCACAGTCCATGGGACGGAAGCCACGAGCCACGGCCAATTGCAGGTTCGCCATGGCCAATGGAACGAGGGCATCAGGCCACGGGGACGAGTGCCAAGATGAAGATGTTCAGGAAAGTACGAGGGACGGAGCAGGCATCTTCGGCTGCAGACGAAAGTCCAGGTCCCCCCTGTAGAGGCGCTAGACTGGGTTCGTTATAGCGAGTGACGGCTAACGACTTTAATGAATGAGGTTATTCTGAGCTCTTGTCTGTCTCCTAGTACTTACCACTTTACTACTGCCATCTACTAACAACGACATGCTACCAAGGCAGAGGCGCTGAGTCCATTGTGAATGGGGTCTGGAATACTCTCCTCTCCAAATCGAGCCGCCAAGGGCCCTACAAGCGTCCGGCTCTCGATTGCTGGCGATACTCTAACACGTGCCTGAGTTGCTGGACAAGAAGGGGGCTGCCTTCTGTGCCACCCCGGTGCTTGGCATCGTGATGGACGTGGTGCTGCCAGCCTTTCCGGACTGATGGTCCTCGTAGGATGGCGAGCATCTAGCAGACACCCCATGTTTAGGGAACATTAGCAAGTATACCATCGACGGGGACAATCTGTGACCTGCAACCCTGCATCTCCTCCACGCGAGAACGAACAGCACGAAGAGCATGGAAACGGCTCGTCCAGACCAATCGAGGGTCTATTTTTCCCGCGATGCAGTTGCGACCTCACCTTTCTGTCCATCCTTGTCGTCACCCAGCCGCATTTGATCCCCCAGACGCAGGGATGCCGATGCTTCCCGGCCAGCTCAACGAGGTGCCTTGCATTCGCCCTCCATCTCCATCTCCCCTCCACATGCGCTCAATGTGGATAGCACAGCTGCAGAACCATGGAGGCTAGCGGAATTGGCCGCCGGCTGCAACATTTGGCGTGGGTTCGGCCTGGCCATCACACGCGAGAACAGAGAGGCCCGGATTGTCCGCCGCAACTGGGGATAGGTACACTTATATAAAGGACCGCCGGCCTCGTGTGTCTCATCTTGCCATCCCCTCTTCCTCCTCGTCCACAGCGGCCCTGCAGTCATTGGCACGTCCTCCAGTGCTCGTTGCCATCACCAGTCACGATGATTGCCAAGCTCGGAATCGTCAGCCTCCTCGCAGGCTCGCTATCTGGCGTCTTGGCTCAGACCTTTCAACGACTGGGAACGTGCCAGACGCTGGGGTGTCTGCTGCCTCCTGACCAGAGCGACTTCCTGCCCGGCCAGCTGTTTGATCTGCGTGTCGAGGTTCACGCTCCCGTCAACGGCTCCGAGGCCGCCCACGACGGCAAGCCCGACGACAAGTTCAAGGTCACCATTGCCAAGGACGGCGAGAAGGCCAAGGACTTTGCCCACGCATTCGGCATCAAGGAGCCCGCCCTCGAGAAGTGGACATTCAGCTGGTTCGAGGATCTCTTCGCCCAGGATGCCCACAAGCCCTCCGTCGTCAACGTCGCCTCCAAGGCCTACCGCAAGATTGCCCTGTACGAGCCGGGCACTTATACCGTCACCCTGAGCTACTACAACGGCGAGAATACCACCGCCAAGTGGGTTGTTCGCGACCTGCACACTAAGAAGAGGGCCAAGAACGTCATCTTCTTCATTGGCGATGGGATGACCACCAACATGGTACGTTGCAATTGAGCGAGTTTGGACGTGGCCGCTTCTTGAATCTCAACGCTGACTGTGCTTGGTTCCAGATCACTGCTGCTCGCCTTCTTGGACACCAGAGCATCAATGGCAAATACCAGACCCGTCTGCAGCTCGACGACTTCCCCGTGCTGGGCCACCAGATGACACACTCCATTGACAGCTACATTACCGACTCTGCCAACTCGGCCTCTGCTCTGTACTCTGGCCACAAGAGTACCGTCAATGCCATGGGGTGAGTGTCGACATGTTGGGAGGGACAATTCCATGTTATAGAATGCAACTGAAGCTGACTCAAGGATTCAAGTGTCCACGCCGACTCCTCTCCCGATGCTTTTGATGACCCCAAGGTTGAGACCATTGTCGAGATCTTCAAGCGTGTTCGCGTAAGTCTTATAGACTATCCCTCATGAGCAACCAAGAGTGTTAATGTCCCTGATAGAAGGGTGTTTGGGGCGCCGTCTCCACCGCGTTCCTTGCCGATGCGACGCCAATTGCTTTGACTGGGCACACTCGAAGGCGGAGCGAGTACGGCCCTCTCATTGACCAGGCACTGCATGGTGTCACCAACTTCTCCTGGACCAACCACGGCGGCCCCGATGTCTTCTTTGGCGGCGGTGCTGAGCAGTTCCTCCCCGGTGCCGGTTCCTACCAGGGCAAGGACTACTATGCTGAATTTGCAAAGAAGGGGTATACCGTGGCCCTTGATAAGAAGTCCCTCCTCAAGGCCGACAACAACAGAAAGGCTCTCGGCGTCTTCTGCCAGGGCGTCATGCCCGTCTGGCTGGACCGCAACATCTACAAGGACGTCCTCAAGAAGTTCAAGAACGACCCCAAGGGCACCACCGCCCCTGCCCTCGACCTGCCCGGTCTCAAGGACATGACGCTCAAGGCCGTTGACATCTTGCATAAGCGTGGTGGTGACGAGGGTTTCTTCCTCATGTCCGAGGCTGCTTCCATCGACAAGGCCATGCATGTCCTCGACTACGACCGTGCTCTGGGCGATCTTTTGGAGCTTGACGATACCGTCCGCGCCACGGTTTCCAAGCTGGAGAAGATGGGCATCCTGGACGAGACCCTGATTATTGTCTCTGCTGACCACGGCCACGGCTTCGAGTACGCTCTCTTCTCCCTCTTTCTCATACATAGTAGCATATGAAGCAAAGTAACTGACATAGATGCACCTAACAGCGTCTTTGGCTCTGCCGATACCGAGTACCTTGCCGCCCAGAAGGATGAGCGGGCCAAGCGCAACGCCATCGGTGTCTATGAAAAGTCCGGCCTCTCCCAGTATACGAAGAAGGGCAAGGTCAGCTACGGCACCGGCGTCAACTTTCCCACCAACTGGGAGCCTCGCTACGCCATCGCCGGCGGCGTTGGCGCCGCTCCCGACCACCGCGAGAACTACAAGGTGCACAAGGACGCCCCCAGGCTGCCCGCCGTGCCCATGGGCAGCGAGTACTTTGTCAATCCCGAGGACGGCGTCGACGGCATTGTGATCAACGGAACCATCCCCACCACCGAGGCCCAGGGCGTCCACTCCCTGACCGACGTGCCCGTCTTTGCGCTGGGGCCCTGCCAGGAAACCTTTGGCGGCACCTACGGCAACGTTGACATCTTTTACAAGATTGCCAACTGCCTGGGTTTGGCACACGGCAAGGAGAGCTACTAGACGGATGTTTGGTTTGTGGAGGTAGTTTAGCGAGTATATGTAGTCTGCGTGAGAGGGCGTCATGCGCTGTATTTATTGTTAGCTTGAATGTTACACTTGAGGAGCAGGTTTGGCCGTGATCTCATAATTCATTGCTTTGACTGCGTCAGTGAAGCACCTATCTCTCTGGTATCCCTATCTGTCCGAACCGGTAGTACCTCTTTATGTGCCGTGAAAGCCCTTCATTAGAGTGTAACCTTTTGGCAAGTGTTTGCCATACCTTGTTCTTGTGAAACTTTGTTTGTAAACCGAATTGCATCCCTGTTACCGAATCGAATCAAATAAAGTGAAAATAGCAAAGTTATCGTTGAGTCCGGCCAACGCCAGCATGACGGGGAAATGGTGAAAATGGGAAAAGGGGCTAGCTGAAAAGGCCGTGGCAAACCCGAAATGCAGATAGATACCTTCGTGAGTGGGGTGTATCAACGTGAGAAACAGGATGAAGAAGAACCCCCTCATATGCTTGGCCCTTTACCCCTTCCTCTCCCCTGAAAAAGATGAGCCGCTTACTGCTTGTAGAGATGGGCGTAGTGCTTGCGCCAGTGGTCAGCCGGCGACTTCTAGTCGGGCCGGGTGTTGTTCATGATGTTGATGATGCCCCTGAGCTCGCGGGCGTTGAGCTCCTCGAGGTGGCGGCCGTCCCTGTCGACGTCCCTGCCGAGGGCCGCGGTGTGGATCCAGACGTTCTTAGTGCCGTGGACGGAGAGCTGCGCGACGAGAGGGCCGACGGTGCCCTTGCGGATGCCGCCGCCGGCGATGAGCTGCAGGCTGCCCGGGTGGCCGCGGTGGCAGATGGCGTCGAGCTTGTCCTGGTTGAGGTGGCAGCCGCCGTGGCCGCCGGCGGTGAGGACGCCGTCGAAGCCGCAGCGCACGAGGATGTCGATGCCCTTGGCCCAGCGCTCGGAGGCGGCGATGGGGTCGAAGGCGCGGTGGAAGACGCAGGGGAAGGGCTTGGCGGCCTCGATGAGGAGGCGGCAGCGCTCCTCGTCGATGGTGTACTTTTGGTCCGGGTACTTGGCGAGGGTGGAGGCCTTGGTCTGGCGGCGGAGGACGCCAAAGACGAAGCCGTCGCCGCGGATGGGGTTGAGGACGCGGGTGGCCTTGAAGTCCTCGATGGCCTGGAGCATGAGGTCGATCTCGGCGTCGGTGTAGATGAAGTCTTGGAGCTTGTCCTCTTCCTCTTCTTGCTGCTTCTTCTTCTCTTCCTCGGTCAGCTCCTCCTTCTTCTCCTGGTCTTGGCCCTCTTGGGTCTCTTCCTGGCCTTGCTGCTTGAGCTGGAGGGCAGCAGCGGCGGCGGCAGCAGCAGCAGCAGGAGGGCGAGGGGCTCCGCGGGGGCGGATCATGATGCGGACGGCGATTTCAAGCTGCGAGGCAATCGAGGTCAGCTCCTTGACCGGGGGCGTGAGGCCACCTTCTTCGTACGAGCCTGGGGCATTGAGCTCGATGCGTTTGGCGCCGAGGTCCTGGGCCTCGAGGCCGGCGGCGCCGCTGAAGACTGCGACCTCGCAGTTGAGCTTCGTGGGCTGGCCGAGATCGATGGGGGTTGGCATTTTGGGATGATTGTGAGATTTGGTAGAGAGGGGTTGAATAAGTAGAAGTAGAATGGCAGATCTGAAGCTTTTGGTGTAGACGTGCCGAGGTCGGAGGGGTTGAGAGAGAAAGAAGGAGAGAGAAAGTAATGAGTTTGCGAAGATGGGATCAGTCCTCGCCTTATATACGTGGAAGGAAAAGATGCTCTAAAGGTTCATCGCTATGTCACTTCATGTTGAAGCCGGTCTGAACGAAAAGTGAGTCGAATGTGAAATGATAGGACAGGCACTGGCAGTTGATTGTTGGAGGAAAGGGGGATAAAGAAGGTACATTGAGTGAGCTGTCAAGCCATTGTTTGGTGAGGGCACCTTGAACGACAGCTTCAACAAGGTGGGGGAAGGTTTGGTCGAGGCGGGGGAGGGGCACGGCTTATCTGATAAGAAATTCTTTACTGAAGATTGATACATGAAGCATCTACCCAGAATAGATTATACATACACCCATCTGATGGTTGAAATCCCAATCTTGCTTCTCTCGTCTCTGCTCATTGTTCTTCTAGAGCTTCATTCCCCCAAGCTACCTATGAATAGCAAAAAGAGGCCTCGGGATGGCGCCCCCTCGTCTCGTCCCTCGGCCGTTTCTGGGGCAGGCTGATGGGATTTTACTCTAGGCTCTTGCTTCTGCTCTCCCCACTTCATGCGTTCTTCGGGTCTCGGTGGAGAAAAGAGAGACTTGCAGTGTGATGCAATGCTGCAATCAAGCAGAAAAATCTGTCGGTGACCTGGCCTCTCCATACAAATTGCATACGATCTGCGAGTACTGTACATACACTTTGCGCCTCTCAAAAACTTTTTCGTCTCTCCTTCGTACCTAAATTTGCAGTTCTAGGTAGGCGACTGGACGGGACCTTCAGTGGATCCCCCGCCGCAACCAGCTTCGACTCCAGCGGACCCTCCGCCAGTCTACAGCGAGCTTAGCGCCCCCTGCTTTTGCCGTTTCAGGCGCTCGAGTCCAGGGATCCGGCGATCCAGCGGCCAATTGCCTTGTGCGCCCATGCCCTGCGAGGCTTAGTAGGCAAGGTACCGAGAAACTCCACGGTCCCTCCACTCACACCTCGACCAATCTGCAAGCTCTTTCGACGTTGATTTTTTCCCCTCCACTCTCTGTTGACTGCTTGACTGCTTCACCACTCCACACCAGCAAATCAGGGTCCCTCTACCTGGTACGGGTAGTATTACCTTGCATTGACTTGTTTGATTTGCGAGTTCTGCTCCTCCACCGCCAGCGGCAGCAGGAAAATTTTCTGGCCTAACCCCATCAGACGTCATTTGCCTGCCTGATCGGTTCCCGCCGCATATAAAGCATCGTCTAGCTCCCCCTCCTCCTCTGGCGAGAAACATTGACAGGCCATATCCTCTTTCTTCTCTTCTTGACTTGTCGCTTCACCTAAACATCAGACACACGCACTACCTTCACAATGTCTTCTACCGAGAGCCCCGACGCCGCCACCGTCTTCTACGAGCAGCTGGAGAACCTCGAGGATGAGTTCGAGGAGGTTGAGCTCGAGCTCCGTAAGTTTTCACCCTCTTCAAGTGAAAAAAAGAAAGAATCCAAAACAGACTGCTGACCATGTTCTCTCTCCACAGTCCGCCAGCAGGCCAAGCTCACCAAGGACCTGTACGCCAAGCGCGCCAAGGTCATTGCTCAGATCCCCAGCTTCTGGCCCCTCGTCTTCGAGCAGGCTCCCCCGGATATCGACGAGTACGTCCAGCCGACCGACTCTGCCGTGCTGCTGAGCTCGCTCGTCGACCTGTCCGTCGAGCGCTTCGAGCTGCCCGACGGCGACCCTCGCAGCATCGCCATCAAGTTCGAGTTCAGCGAGAACGAGTACTTTGAGAACAAGGTGCTCGAGAAGAAGTTCTGGTGGCGCCGCAACAAGGACGGCTGGGCGGGCCTCGTCAGCGAGCCCGTCAAGATCAACTGGAAGCCCGGCAAGGACCTGACCAGCGGCCTGCTGGACCTCGTCTACCAGGTCTGGGAGGACGACAAGGCCGGCAAGGGCGACGACACCGAGGCCAAGAAGAAGCTCAAGGAGCAGATGGAGAGCACCGGCCTCGACGGCGTCAGCTTCTTTGCCTGGTTCGGCTTCCGCGGCCTCAGCATCTCCGAGGAGGAGAACAAGGCCGCCGTCAAGGAGGAGCAGGAGAAGCGCCAGGCCCGCAAGGAGGGCAAGCCCGTCGACGAGGACATGGACGAGGAGGACGACGACGATGAGGACGACGACGAGTACGAGATGGAGATCTTCCCCACCGCCGACGACCTGGCCGTCTGCATCGCCGAGGACCTCTGGCCCGGCGCCATCAAGTACTTCTGTGAGTACATTCACGCCTCTGAGAACTCGTCAGAGGAGTCGGGAGATGAGAGCAGTTAAGAGGAGCAGCAGCGCTAAGACAAATTCCTCCCCACAGTGACGGCCCAGGAGCTGGATGGCCAGAGCGACATCAGCTTTGAGTCTGACGAGGAGATGGACGAGGACGAGGCCGCCGCTCAGCCCTCCAAGAAGCGCAAGGCTTAAGCCTTTTCGTTGTGCTTTTTTTCTTACGATTTCTTTTTTGGATTATGTTACTCTTCGGTTCTTCTATTTGCTCCTCACTGGCCAACTGGACCTGGGATTCAAATTTCAAGAGAAGGACTCAGAGCTGATGACGATGATGACCGGAAAAAACAATTGGGCTGTTACAAAAAGGAAGTTGCTCTATGGAGCTTGGTGCTTTACGGTTATATAGAAGGAGACTGGCAAATTCATACCCCCATTTTCATCTTTGATACATGTTCTCCATGCTTGTAGCGTATAGTGTTTGCTCTCTCTCAACTGAGGATGCTGACTGGTCATTCAACTCTCTCATTATATGTCCTTGTTCATTCTTTTAATCTCAATGGACTGCCACTTGTCCTCTTAAGTTCAATACAAGAACACGACAATCACGGCTAGTCCCGTTTTGCATCGGACCAAAGTTGGCTCTTGATTACTACCCTTGAATACTGCATGATGTAAATGTGATGAGTTTCTCCCCTCTTCTCCAAGTTCATTTCTCTCCAACTGCTCGCTCGGCCTCGGACTTGCAAATACACCGGTTATTAACTGGACATTTGACTGTAGCGATTTCCGAAACGCCCCTCCCCATCAATGCTACCAGGCCGAAGCCGAGCCAATCCGCATCGCAACCGAGCCACAAAGGATCGTCATCGGCTTCCTTGGAGTCGGCGGTATTGCATGTGGGCTGACGATGCAAATTTGTCAGCCTTGAGAAATGCCACCCTTTGACGGCCACTGGATTTGACGTGTTCCTTTTGGACGCTCTTAGGTTTTATGTAATCGGGTTATTTTGACGAGAGAAGTGCAACGTGGGGTTGCCTGTCTGATGCAATCGTTTCAGTGATTGCTAGTCTATATGGCTATATTCTACGTATAAGTTGTCCCAGCTTGCCTCAACTATCTTGGTGGGCATACCATGGCCCTTGTCTCATCAACTCGGCTATCAAGAACACGACCAGTTATTTCAGGTCTGCAATCGGCCAGGCATACTTTTACGATATATCAATCGTCAACATTCAGTACCACTCAAGGGATTCGTGCTGCTGCAACCATGGCGACGCCGAGGCAGATCCGCATCTCCCCAGCTGAGACGGGCGTCTTGAAGTGGAAGCAGACGGACGAGGCTGCTGCCAAAGTCTCGGAGCTCTTGCAGAAGGATTTGGAGGCGAGTTTTCTATCCTCCTCAAAGTTTTTTGGGTTTAAGCGCATGTTCTAACTCGTGTGGCAGAGTCATCATGTGTTTTTCAACAAAGAGGGCTTTCACAACCATGTATGTTTCCATTATCGAACTTCAACATGACCATTTCTTCAATCTTGGAGATGAACTACCATCATCAAAAGCTGGCCCAAAGCTCGGAAGCTGAAGAGAAAACCACAACAAACAACAGATAGTCCACCACCTCCTCTCCCTCTACGCAACCGGCGCCTCCCCCGAGACCCTCGAAAAGGCCTACGCCCAAAACGACTCTTACCAAATCACCGCCAAGGAGTTCAACCCCGACGTCGTCAAGGAGCTCAAGAGCGGATGGTCAGAGGGCAGTCCCTATCTCGGAAAGGGAGACCACTATCCCGACTTTCTCAAGTTCTTCCAGGACGAGATTGCGGAGAAGGGGTGGGAGAAGGTGCTGCAGGAGTATGTCTTTAAGGGCGATGAGAGGAGCGAGGCCATCTATGGACGGCTCTTTGCCGGTATGCTTTTCCTTTCCCAGCTGCTTGTTTCCTTTTTTGTTTTACTATGATACATCAGGCGAATCTGCATTCAAATGTCGCTGTGATTATATGCCCCCTTTATATGCTAACGTCCTCCTTCACCCCCAAGGCTTCTTACACCCCCTGATCCAGCTCATGTACGGCCTCGAATGGCAACAACCCGCCATCATCGCCGAGGGCCTCGCCCAAGCCGCCGTCCACGAGAACCGCGTCGGCGGCTTCCTCACCAAAGTCGAACAAGCCGCCGCCGCCGCCTCCTCCTCCTCATCATCATCATCATCCTCCTCCTCCTCCTCTTCTCTCAAGAAGACGCCCCTACCCGAGATATTCGAATCCATCCGCCAGCACAGCGACAAGCTCGCCACGAGCGCGCGCTTCGGCGACAGCAACAAGATCTACGACGGCGTCTTCGTGCGCGCCCCCGACGAGGCGCTCGCCCTGCTCAAGCGCGTCACCGTCGCCGAGGACGAGCTGGAGGAGAAGACGGCCGAGATGGCGCATGCGTGTGCGTATGTTGCTGCGGCGGCGGCGTTCCATCCGCCGAACGCGCCCAAGTTTGACTTTTTCTTGATGTAGGTTTCTGCTGGCCCCTCTCTCCTCCGCCCTCCTCTCCTTTTTTTCCAATCTCGCCAGTCTATATGTGGAGTTTGTTGTACTTACGGAGAGAATGTGAAATGCTAATATGTTTTAAGCCACCATCTGAATTCGGTCCCCTTCTTCGTCACACTGCTCTCCTTCCCCTGGCTCACGCCCGCCCAAAAAGCCCGCGCCCTGGAGTGGAAGATCCGGCTAGACATTGTCCAGTACGTAGCCCGCGGCTGTCCGCCCCTTCGTCTCGACTCCGTCAAATCGTTCGTCCCAAAGGATGATGCCTCTGAATCCTCCTCCTCCTCCGTGAAGAAGCCGGAGGACTTGCTTCCGCGCTTCCATGCGATCATGGACGACGGACATACGATCAAGGTCGTGCGCGCGCTGTTCATCGCGAGGGAGCTGTCGAGGCGGTTTGCGGATCGGCCGTGGATTCGGATCGCGGACGACGATGACTGGCTGAATGTGCATCGGCTTCTGCTGGAGAGCAGGGAGGGGAGGTTTGGGGCTTCGATGTGGGTGAGGTCGGCTGGGTTTGATGAGGCGTGGGAGGATGTGCCCAAGGCAGAGTAAGGGGGTTGGGGAAAAGCTGTATGCCATTTCTGGAGTTGACAAATGGCTTGATCAAGTTTTTTTGTTTCATTATTTGCTTCTAAATAGTATAATGTAAAAAAAACATACCCTTTTATGCCTACTATTCACAACAAAAAAACAAAAATCACATTTACTCCATGCCCATCCACTCGTCCTCACCATCGTCATCAGATTCGCCGCCCGTGCCATTCATGATGGCGTCGACCGTCTTCTTCTGCGCGCTCGTCAGATACACGTCCCCGTGCGCGCCCGTGCCGTCGTCCTTGGCCTTGTCGGCCTGCCCCAGCAGGTAATCCACCATGTACACGTTCTCGTCCGCCAGCCTCCGGATCTCGTCCTTCATCTTGGCGACGGCGCGCGACACCACGCGCAGCTCGACGTCCACCTTGCCGCGGTTGGCCGTCAGCCAGGCGCCGTGCTTGTCGACCAGCGCCTTGATCCACAGCAGGCAGAACTCGAGGTGCGGCGACTCCTCCGTCTGGGCGGCGACGAAGCGGAGCAGCCTCGGGACGTAGACGATGGGCAGGTCGGCGACGACCAGGGGGATGTCGGCGGGCGGCACCGCCTGGAAGACTCTCTTGATGAGGCCGGCTTCGTTGAGCCGGAACGCCATGACGAGCGCCTTGAGGTAGTCCCTTTCCTTCTCCAGCACCGCCAGCGTCGAGGCGGGCGTGATTTCAATGTTGAGGTCAAACGGGTCAAACTGCAGCGTGTGGTCCAGGCTGTAGATGAGCAGGCCCTCCGTCGAGGCAGCGCAAAAGGCCGTGCCCGCGGGCGAAAAGGCGACGCCCGTGACCCGGACCTCCGGCCTGCGCTTCCTTGCCGACGGATCTCCGCCGCGCTTCGAACCCGGCAGGCTCTTGTCGACGCGGTCCTCGCGGTCCGAGGCTTCTCCTTGCATGTCGATGTCATCCATGGGGCCGGCCTCGGTCAGGAGCTTGCTGTTGAGGAACTCTTGCGTCCCGGAGAGAGACAGGTTCACGCTGACGGTGAACTTCTTGAGCAGCACCATGGTCGACACGGAGTAGAGGCAGATGTATTTGCTGTTGCCGCCGGCGAGCAAGCAGCTTCCGTCGGTGCTGTATCGGATCGTGCTGAAGTTCTTGTTGCCGCCAATGTTGGCCGCGGTGCGACGGTCGGACGCTTTTCGCCCGCCAGACACGTCTCGGCGCCCATCGAGCCCCGCCGTCTGCTCAGCTTCCGACACGGACCAAAAGGTCAGCTGGCCATCAATCGTGGAGACGGCCAGCTGGAGGGAATCCGGCCGGACGGCAATGTCGAGGATATCGGACTGCAGCTGCAACGGCTCGCTCGTCTGCGTCCTGTTGAAGATGGACCATATCCGCGCGGTCCTGTCCCAGCTGCCGCTCACCAAGGAGTTGCCGTTGGGCGTAAATGCTAGCGAAGATACGGGACCTTCGTGACCGGCTAGCCGATCAAGCAGCTGCCCGGTCTGCACCGACCAGATGTGAATGTCGAACGAGTCCAGCGAACCGGCGGCCACCACTTCGCCGCTGGGGTCGACAGCCATGCATGTAAAGGAAAGCCTCGTCGGGGCCGTAAAGGTACGGAAGTTTCGATATCTGATGAGATCCCATGCTCTGACTGAGCCGTCCAGACTTGACGTGAAGAGGACGTTTCCCTTCTTGGCAAACTCGGACGCTGTGACGCCGCTGGTGTGCTCTGTGAACGTCACGATGCAGAAGCCCGACTCAATGTCCCACACCTTGACCTTGCCGTCGTCAGCAGTGGTGATGATTCGCTGGCCATCCGGTGAGTAGACGAGAGAGTTTATTGAGTCAAAGTGTCCCTGCTGTTTGAGGATGTACGACTCCGACTGCCACTCCCAAACCAGCAGCTGGCCCAGCTTGGAAGCGCCAAAGGCCAGCCACTCTCCGCTCTTGTTGATCGTCACAAAGTCAACGTCGCTCTGAGAAATGCTCAGTTTGTGAATGTTGTTGAAGTCGGGCATTTCGTAGAGGCTGAAGAGGCCATTGGACATCCCGGCGACCAACAGATTCGTTTCGGCATGGAAATAGGCACATCGCACGTGCGCGCTACCTTGCATGAAGTAGTGTCGCTCCACGATGCGCCATCTCATATCCGAGTCGTCGTCGCTGTCATCATCGTCATCCATTCTGCTCTCATCCTTTGCTGAGTGGAGAGGTTTGACGTATTTCCAGCTAAAGACTGCACCATCCTTGCTGACTGTGTAGATGGTCTCCTGGTCACCAGAAAACCAAGCGCCGATGACGGTTTGCTTGTGGCCGCCGAGGACGGTGGGAATGAAGCCTTCTTCGTATTCCACGCTCCATATCCTTGCCGTCAAGTCCTTGGAAGCTGTCAAGAAAAACCGGGAGTCGCTGGACCACTCGATGTGCTGAACCGAGTCGAAGTGGCCGGTGAGGGTTCGGCGCTTCACGAAAGGAGCAAACTCGAGCTCTCCGTCGGCATTGGTATCGGGGGTGGAGGGCACGTGCCAGACTTCGACTTTGCGCCCCAATCCCACCACAAAGTATCTGCCTGAAGGCGAGAACGAAAGCGCTGTGACCTGCGACTTGAAGGAGAAGTGGTAGATGGATACGCGGCGGGGGACGTTGGTCAGGATCGCATGGCCGTCTTCGTCAACGGTGAGGAGGAGGTTGCCACGGGGGGAGAGGCCTATTCGGACAATATTCTTGCGGTGTGCGAATGGTAGGGTGTGGGATTTGTTGCTGTTGCGTTTCGAGGTTAGCCGTCGGTCTTTGTTCGTCTTGTCGCATGATGCGCCGGCACAACTTACTCTACCAAGTTGAAGACGGTCACGCGGTTGCCGACCGGCGAGAAGAGATGGGTGCCATCGGGACTGAAGGCCAAGTTACCCTGGCAGTAGACAGTGCCCAGCAAGTTGGAAAACTAAGGGAATCGTACGGTTAGCCGTTGATTCTATATCCAATCTGGACCATGTTGCGTATCGTATCGTAGGCATTGCTGGTTGCATGTGTGGTGCATATAGAGAACAATTGGACGAAGGAGAGAGTCTTAAATGAACCTCGGGGCAAATATTCGACATACCCTAAAGTCGGTCTTCATTGTCGACCACTTGCCATGACCATCCAGGTGAGTGCAATGAGGTGAAGCTCGAATATGGTCTGCCGCCGTCGTCGTATCAAGAAAAAAAGCTGCGACTTTTCTTATCGATACGGGCCACTTTTTCTCTTTTCCGTTTCTCTTCTACTGCTGCCGTTCAAAGTCCGGCAGATACCTTTTTCCGGTCCTCCAGATCTAAGCCTAAACGGGCACGACTACGCCGTAATGCTGGGAGCGCACAGGCCACCTCAATCTAAGCCGGACATGACAAGTAGCGGGTACCTTACCCAAGCCCGCAGCGGCATATTCACAAGCGAGAGCTTCCATGTACCGTGAACTTCTTCTAGCTCCTTCCTCACTTACAAGGTTCCTTAAAGTTCATGCTCAAAAGCAACTGGAAGCAACACCTCGAACAACAAACGGCAGGCAAGCCCCAGAGAAAAAGGAGACCGACCGCCTTTGCTCCTGCTCTGCCTGTGGCTCCCCTGGTCGCACCAGCCCGCTAAGCCCAATCCGCCCGCCCGCCTATCAGCGCGCAGCAGCCCCTGGCCAATTTGGCTCAGTGCAAAATTGGGGGAATACGACCGCCTCAACCCCTTCTATTTGATCCCTTCTATCCCCTGAACGGCTCGAGCTCAGCACGTCGGAACCTCCACTTTGTCTTGTCCAACCACCCGCCAACGGCCACCCGACAATATCTTTCCTCCTGTCTGCGACCTCCTGCTCTCTCCTCAGTAGCCATCCTCTCGCTGCTGTCCTCTCGCTCGTTTGCCTGCCTCCCTCTCTGTCTCTCTACAGCTCCCCAAGACACCCACTCCGTAGCCCCTCCACGTGTGCAAGATGGCTCCCGCCGCTGCTGAGAGCGCCTCACCGATTGGCATTGCCAATCTGCCCAACCAGCGACACAAGATTGTCGCCAAGCGTGGAGCGAGCTTCACCATCATGGTACGCGATTGTCCGTGGCGTTTGCAGTGCGCAAACGCGTCTCTGCGGCGTGACGAGCGAGCTTCTTGTTGGACAAAGCTAACACGCATGTCTCTGCTGCTAGGTTGCTGGCGAGTCTGGTCTGGGCAAGACGACCTTCATCAACACCCTCTTCTCCACGACCATCAAGAACTACGCCGATCACAAGCGCAGGCACCAGAAGCAGGTCGACAAGACGGTCGAGATTGAGATCACCAAGGCCGAGCTCGAGGAGAAATTCTTCAAGGGTAAGGGATAGCTGCCTAAAGGGGATGTGCCTATTTTCCACCAGACGGTTTGCTAAGGTCGTGTTTTTCCGGTGTTACTTAGTTCGATTGACCGTCATCGATACTCCTGGATTCGGTGACTATGTCAACAACCGCGACTCCTGGCAGCCCATCATCGAGTTCCTCGACGACCAGCACGAGTCTTACATGCTCCAGGAGCAGCAGCCGCGCCGCCAGGACAAGATTGACCTCCGTGTCCACGCCTGCCTGTACTTCATCCGCCCTACCGGCCACACCTTGAAGCCCCTGGACATCGAGGTCATGAAGCGCCTCTGCTCACGGGTCAATCTGATCCCCGTCATTGCCAAGGCTGATACTCTCAGCCCGGCCGATCTTGCCAAGTTCAAGCAGAGGGTATGGATGAAGAGACATGACACGTTCTCGAGATGCACTTTGCTAACTCATAGCAGATTGTCAGCGTCATCGAGGCCCAGAACATCAAGATCTACCAGCCCCCTATCGAGGAGGATGACGAGGCTGCCGCCCAGCACGCGCGTAGCCTTATGGCCGCTATGCCGTTTGCCGTCATCGGCTCCGAGAAGGACGTCAAGACCAGCGATGGCCGCATCGTCAAGGGCCGTCAGTACTCGTGGGGTGTTGCCGAGGTCGAGAACGAGGAACACTGTGACTTCAAGAAGGTGCGATCCATCTTGATCCGCACCCACATGCTTGACCTCATCCACACCACCGAGGAGCAGCACTACGAAGCCTACCGAGCACAGCAGATGGAGACGCGCAAGTTCGGCGAGGCCCGCCCCCGGAAGCTCGACAACCCCAAGTTCAAGGAGGAGGAGGAGGCTCTGCGGAAGCGGTTCACTGAGCAGGTCAAGGTCGAGGAGCAGCGCTTCCGACAATGGGAACAGAAGCTCATTGCTGAGCGCGATCGTCTCAATAAGGATCTCGAGCAGACCCACGCCCAGATCAAGCAGCTGGAGAACGAGCTGGAGGCCATGCAGGGGGGCGCCGTCCGAAGCCACGGCCGCCGATAAATCCGCTCTAATGGTGACTTTGGTTTGCCGCGCAATGCTGGCGTTGGAGTGTCATGACGTCGGGTTTCTTCGCTCCACCTCGCTCCGGCTACCGATACAGGTCCCCGGAAGAGGTCGAACATGGAACTGCCGCACCCCGCGGCGCTTCATTTCATGCATATCCTAATCAACTATTGCTACGGGAGGCGAAGATCTTTTGATGAATTGTCGAGGAGAAGGCCCGCGTTTTCAGTTATTTTTTTGTGTGTCTTGTTTCAGTTCTGGTGCCGGAACTGTCGCGATGGGGGGCTTGATGCTTGACAGCGGCACAAAGCAGCATGTTATGGCCGTTGCCCAACACCAGCAAGTTACTGAGTAAAGGGGCGAGTGCTGGAAGTTTTGATAATGTAGCCCTATTTTATTCCTCTTTTATTTGAGCACTCCCATCTCACATTTCAGTCAGGCACATTTTCTAGTCTTATGTAATTGAGTCAACTTTGAGATACCAGTTTAACAAGGCCATCTTGATGCACGTCGCAGTTTGGTAGAGTGAGATTTGGTTGTATTCCTTATTCCAAGGGATCACCGCTCCCGTTCCGTTGGTTGTAATGGTAATGAGCTAAAGTGAAGAAATAAACCCAGCGTAATTCCCAGCCAAACTCCTAAGCTATACTCCGAGACAAACAGATCGGTATACTATACTCTGATACCTACTTGGTGATGAAAGAAAAGGCAAAGAGTAAAAAGAAGTAATGAATCCTTCACGATTCATATCGCCTGCTTAGATGCCCCCATCCTTTTTCCCGGAAGATATCCAAGTCGAACCACCAAAGAAGAAAAAGCAAGATTGGTCTGCTAGCAGTTGAAACTAAACGGCGTCCATGCTAGCTCTCGTGGTGAGCTGCTCGTTCTTGTTCCCCAGCCTCGAAATCTGCAAAAAGGCGTCGACGCCGTAGCCCTCCAAGCTGTGCAGGTTCAGCGAGCCGGCCCAGTACTCGGCGTAGACACGGCTAAGGGGGAGACCCATGCCGAGGCGCAGGTTGGGGGGCCGGCTGGTGAGGGTCGAGAGCGAGCCTAGGTAGGTCGGCGCCTTGAGGTCGGCGCGGCCGAGCTCGTCGGTGACGTGGAGCTCCTGCATGGTGGCGGCCATGCGGGGCACCTGGCCGAGGTTCTCGAGGCGCTTCTGGCTGAGGGGCCCCTTGCTGAAGGACCAGAGGTAGGGCAGCTCGTCGCGGGGGATGCCGCCGCCGCGGTCCGAGATGCGGATGATGACGTGCTCCTGGGCCTCGCAGATGGTGACCTCGATGGGCGGCGGCGGGGACGAGGCGTGGTCGGGTTGCTTCTGGTGGCGGTCGATGACGGCCTGGACCGAGTTGCGCAGGAGCTCGCCGACAATGTACTCGAGGTGGCTGAGGATGTAGGGGAAGCTGGCGTTGAGGTGGCCGTCGATGCGCACCTCGGGCACCTGCACGTCGGGCCCGTTGGTGGTGCGGGCGAGCTGCGTGACGGCCTTGGCGCAGCGGCTGATGACATCCTTGGCGGAGCACTTGATGAAGACCTCGCCAATGAAGTCGGACTCGGAGAGCGTGGCGCCGGGGGAGAAGTAGGGGGAGTTGAACGTCTCTGTAAGGGACAGGTGCTGCTCCGCGATGACTCGACGGGAGATGCGCTACGTGGCCCTCCGCTGTCAGCTTTTCTTTGTTTTTTTTTCCTGTTGTGAACTGCCATAGGACAGCTGGCTACTTACCGATCGGAGAATGACATTCATGAAGTGGTCCAGCTCCTTGGGGTCCATCAGGCCGCCGCACTCAAGAATGCCCATCGCCAGCTTGGGGATGACGGTCAGATGGCCCTTGAGGTTCTGGCTGATGATCTCGCAGAACTTTTCATTGTCTTCCAGGGTCCTGATCTCCTTGACCTTGCGGAACGTGTCAAAGGCGTTGTAGTAGAGCTTGTAGACTTCTTCAATGTGGCGGTTGGTCACGACGACGTAGGGGAGCTTTTGCATGTCGCGGATTCGATGCGCAATTCTGCGGATGCGACGCCTGAATTAGCGACTGGACGAGATCTAGAACGGAAAGGCATTGGATGGTAAATACATACCTGACGGGGAGTTCGGTTCGGACGTAGTTTGCAGAGCTTATAAGTCGCGACTCGGTCAGGGAGCGTCCAAAGACCATCAGCTGGCGCAAGCTGATGGGTCGGGCCTCTTTCGCAACCCATCTATAACACAAGGCAGCAGCAGCATTAGCGCATGCGCTCACATGTTGGAGAGCTTTGGGAACGGAAATCTTGAGAAAAGGGAGAGCACGAAGATGTTCGCAGTAGCCCAAGGTGAGGTGTGGACGTACTCGTCAAGCACAGAAACCGGGCGCCACGTGCCGTTGCCTGCCTGGGCCTGGGCCGCTGTTCTCAGCTGCGTCTTGACGACAGCAGACGGCGCTGTAAAGGTCGCTCGGGGGATCGCATTGCTGAGGCCGCAGCGCGCCAGGGCCGAGTAGTCGGACGGGCGACATCGTCTGCCGTGGCAGCGCAGCGCTACGGAGAACATGCCCACGGTTCCATGCAGCACAGGTTGGGATCGAGTGGGTGGCTTGATGCTGGTGACGATGGGCGGCGCGGCGGTTGGAAGGTGTCGTGTTTGGCGTGAGAAGAAGAATCGCAGTAGAAGCGGAAAAGGCAGTCGGATGGAGGGAGGAGAAGCCGAGAGACGGGCGATCTGGTCGTGAGGGGAATTGATGCAGCTACCTGTTGTGGTTGAATGGTCTCGTCGAGTCTAGCAGAGGCAGATGGATGGCTGTTAATAAGAGGCGCCTCTCCGAAGCATGTGCCGGTAGATCTGCTTGCTTAAGGTTCTGGCCTGGCCAGGCTGCCCCACAGACTGCGGTATCGGCTCCGAATGGCAGTTGAGGACTACTAAGGTATTTATGTAACACGCCTTTGGCCCTTGGCTTGGGCTACGGTGAGCTTGGCCATGGGTTTTGCTTCAGTATTACGATCTGATGCGCAGGACTTGATATTATGCATGTGCAGCTGGTTGACGCATTCAAACTTGGCGGGTGGACGTTTGATGCCGCCAGCTGAGTAGCACTTCAGGTCCGGCACCTTACGAAGAGGCCCAACAGCTCGTTAGCGCTTCACGCCTCACGGGCGAACAATTGCAGCAACGTCAACGTGTGTAAAACCACGTAAGGTACTGAGAACAGTGCTGCAGATGACTAGGCACGCTTCTTCAGCGTTGAGACACGCTACACAGCTTGACAAAGCGATCCAACGAGCCTCAATCAGGGCCCGGCGTGTATACTTCCATGTGCTTGTTATGAACCAGAGGCGGTTGATCCAACGTGACATGTGACTCGGCGGCAGAGCTCCTGAGTCTGATGCTCCTCGCATTGAGTCATTCAACGGCTTTCTTCGACACCGTATTACTAACGTCTTGTCGATATAGGCAGGTAAGTAGTAAAGTAGGGAGCAAATATGAGTACTACTAGTAAGGTAGAGCCTTGCCTTGGGGGTCTTGGGGGTGTAAAAGCAACGGCCAAACTCGTCCATTCCGTGTGCCTCGTCACAAGCAAAAGAGCAAAAGGCTGTTAAGGTTAATAAGCATCAAGGTGGGGTAAACAGTGGGGTGACAGCGCAATTGAAGGTACAGCAGAGGTCGATCGCTGTTAGAGCGGTACCTGGGCCGTGCTTGATCATTTCCGCGGGGTTCTGACAGGTTGGCGGGGTCTGCGCAGGTCCTGACTTATCACGGCGCAGCTGAGCTCGGCCAGCAATGATTCATGGAAGGTTCCTCTCGAGCTTGTCGCAGATGCAGGAGAAATACCAGTAGAGAAGAGTTAAACGAACCGTAGGATTCGCATTGAATGGTATCAACATTTGATAGGAGTAAGGCATCGTTTCTGATGTAATGTCCTCACTAATCGAGACTCCTCCACGTGTACTAGCTCACTTCTCTTGTTCTTCCAGATTGCCTTCAGAATAGTCGCAAAGGTGAGGTAGGAAGCTTCGCATTCCACTGCCAGCCTATCAGAGTCGAGCCGCCTCTCCTCAGATGCTTCAGTCAAGGCCACACAAGAAACGAGCACCTCCACAATTCAAACCACCGCCACCAATTGCAGCAAGCACCTGCTAAACGTAATGACGCCACTCCCAGGCCCTCCAACCCTCTGGTTCAGAGCCATTGCCGTAGCCGCGTAGCTTCGCGCAGTCTTTTCTCGCTGCTGCTCCACAGGATACCGCTGAGTGCCTGGACGTGTTCGTTGCAGCTGTGATTCAGGCGAAGAGAAAATGAAGGAAGGAAAACAAATGAGATACTCTATAGCACCTTGAATCTCTGTGTAGATCAACGCTGCCTTGATATAAGGCAGCCACCGAGGTTGTTCAAGTTCTTGGCTGCTGAGCTTCCAACTTTCCGCCTTGTCCCGCCACTGTGCAACCAGCTTTTCTGCCGGCCGGCCGATAGCGACCTTATCTGCCTCTCTCTCTCTCGCTCCCTAAGCCGCTGCAGTGCTTCGTACTTTTTTTTTCTTAATACTTTTGTGCCGTTCCTCCTTCTTCTCCAGCTGTACCTCCTTCGTACAAGCCATCCATCATTCTTTCCCTCGTCAACAAGCTCGTGCAAGTCACTCCTGCGACATCCTCTCGAGTCTAGGCAGCTGCCGCCGCTTGCTCTGCTGCCGTTGCTCCCGCTGCGACTTCCCCAACCCAAACCGAACCCGCCAGCTCGGGCAAGTGCCACACGCGCGCCTTCTCATCGCAGCGCCCTGCACCCCGCCAGCGAATTTGCAACAGCACCGCGGGAGCTCCTGCCCGTTCCTGGCCTGCCTCTGGCCTCCGGCCGTTGCAAATTCCATTGTTATTGCAATCATGGTACGTCGCTTTGTTCTGTCCGTTCCTTCACGTCTGGCCCCATCGAGTCGAGCCCAAGTTCCCTTTGCATCTGCATCTGCATCTGCCTCTGCCTCTGCGTCAGCTGGCCGGCAATTGAACTGCGTTGCACGAGTCCCGCCGTCATCATCGTCATCGTCATCGATCATCATCATCGCCGTATCTTCTGCATCTTCACCACAACTTCACGTCTCCCCGGCTTCTGCCCCGCCTCTGGCACTGGCCTAGATCTGCTCTGGCTCTGGCTTCTGCTCTGGCGCTCTTTCTCGCCCGTCCATTCTACACTCCCCCCCATTCCCTGCCCTCTTCCGCATCGTTTCTAGCCCTGGAACAGCTCTTGCAGCCGGCCCTCAAAGCCATTGCCGTGCACCACCACCTGCGCTTCAGCAACGTCGACTTCCTCCCCGGCGCTGCGTGGGCATCAGGTCGCAGCGGTTCAAGAGCCGCAGCCCGTCGAGCTCTCCACGCTCTCCGATCGCTCCGGGGCGTCGTCATCAGCATCCGGTGACGTCCATGCTCGACGATCTCGCCTTTCTGCTTTCCTTGGGCCCCTCACTTCCAATCCATCTCACTTGACTTCGTCTACCAGCACCATGCAGTCAGAGGACGAAGCCCACCAGCCTGGGCTGCCGTATCGACCCCGAGCTAATGACACCCGCACGCAGAGCTACAACGTTCCCTCCCCCAACGAGATGGTGGTCGACACCGACGACTATGTCGGTGTCCCCAACGCCCCGGATAAAGATTCAGTGACCATGATCAGTCCCGAGGGCGGACCCGAGCAGGAGGCGGATCAGCTACAAGATCTGCCTCTGGCTAACGACTGTGCGTGATCTCCCCCGCCGAAATAACATCAACCCCGTTACACTAGAGCGATTGCGCTGATTCATCTCCTGGCATGTTACAGACGAAGCCATGAGGGAGATCGTTCTCCCACCGCTGCTTGACGAACCCAAGATCCTCGAAGACGCCCACCATACATGGACAGTTGAGAACTGGCGAAGCCTTGGCAAACGAGAACATGGCCCCATATTTCACGCTGGTGGCTATCCATGGTTGGTTCCTTGCGACTGATGGTGTCCTTGCCTTCATCCACAGTCTCGAGCTAACGCGATCATTACTTGCAGGCGCATCCTCCTGTTCCCCCACGGAAACAATACTGATCAGTGCTCGATTTACTTGGAGCATGGGTTCGAGCCCGATGCGATTCCCGAGAATTGGAGTTGCTGCGTGCAGTTTGGCTTGGTACTTTGGAACCCTAATGACCCCAGCCTATACGTCAACCATGCCGCGCATCACCGCTTCACTAAGGAAGAGGGCGACTGGGGATTTACCCGCTTCGTCGAGATCAGGAGGATGTTCAACGTGCCTTGGGAAGGAGACAGCCGCCCGCTGGTCGAGAACGACACCGCCAACATTACCGCTTACGTCCGCTTCGTTGAGGATGAGACTGGTGTGCTCTGGCACAACTTCACCAACTACGACTCCAAGAAAGAAACGGGCTACGTTGGCCTCAAGAACCAGGGCGCCACGTGCTACCTCAACTCCCTCCTCCAGTCGCTATATTTCACAAACGCTTTCAGAAAGGTCGGTTCTGCCTTACATGCAACTCGTTCACCCCGTTTGCCTTTAGTCACTGACCTTGCATAGGCCATCTACGAAATCCCAACCGAGAATGAAGAGAATATGCAAAACTCTGCCTACGCTCTACAGCGTCTTTTCTACCAACTGCAGACGTCCGAGCAGGCTGTTGGCACGAATGAATTGACAAAATCCTTTGGCTGGGAGACGAGACACATCTTCGAGCAGCAAGACGTGCAGGAGCTGTCACGAAAACTCATGGAGCGCATGGAAGAGAAAATGAAGGGCACAAAGGCCGAAAATGTACTCCCGGAGCTCTTCAGTGGCAAGATCAAAACCTACATCTCATGCATCAATGTGCCCTACGAATCGAAGCGCATTGAGGATTTCTGGGACATTCAGCTCAATGTCAGCGGAAACAAGAACCTCTTGGAAAGCTTCCAGGATTATATCCAAGTCGAGAAAATGGACGGAGAAAACCAGTATTTTGCCGGCGACGAGTACAAATTGCAAGACGCCAACAAGGGCGTCATTTTCTGCAGTTTCCCCGACGTGTTGAACCTCCAGCTCAAGCGTTTCGAATACGACATCCAGAGAGACATGATGATGAAGATCAATGACCGCTACGAGTTTCCCGAAGTCTTTGATGCCTCCCCCTACCTCATGGAAGAGGCCGACCGCTCAGAGCCTTGGATCTACCAGCTGCACGGAGTCCTTGTCCACAGTGGCGACCTGAATGCCGGACACTACTATGCGTTTATTAAGCCATCAAAGGACGGCTGGTTTTATAAATACGATGACGACAAGGTCACAAAGGCCACTCTCAGAGAGGTCTTGGAAGAGAATTTCGGCGGAGAATATCGACCCCCTCACGGCTATCCCAGGGCACCTCTCCAAAAGAAGGCCCCTATCATGCGCCAGAACAGTGCTTACATGTTGGTGTACATTCGTCAATCCCGCCTTGACAAAGTCCTCTGCCCAGTTACCAAGGAAGACACCCCAGCACTCCTCCGTAAGTTGTGGTACTCTCTCATTCTCACATCCCCAGCGTAGCTAACAGATGTAGGGGAACGCTTTGAGGAGGAAAATGCTCTGAGAGAGGCTCGTCGACGCGAACAAAAGGAAGCGCATCTGTACATGATGGCCAAGGTGATCACCAATGAAACGTTTGCCAAGTACGGAGGCACCGACCTTTGTGTCTTTGATGCCAACCCCGAAGTTGATCCCGCTGCCCCCAAGCTGTATCGCATTCGTCGAGCTACGCCCATGCACGAGTTTGTCGCCCAGGTAGCTTCCGACATGGGCCAGGATCCTTCTCGCGTCAGGTTATGGCTGATGGTGAATCGCCAAAACAAGACAATTCGACCGGATCAGCCAATCATGGACCTCAGGCCAACTGTCGAAGAGATCTTTTCTCGTTCCGCCGCACACAGAGACACAAGCTTGCGCGTTTGGGCAGAAGTCGCCAACGAGGTCAACGAAAATGGCGAGCCAGTCTGGCCATCATATCAAAGCCAGCCAAATGGCGTCGTCGTAAAGAACGACACCATACTCTTGCTATTGAAGCACTTCGACGTGGAAAAGCAAACTCTGGAAGGCGTGGGCCATATTTACATTAGCAAAGAGAAGAAGGTCGACGAGCTGGTTCCCATGATTCTTCAGAAGATGGGCTGGGGCGACAAGCTCTCTTCCGACGAGAAATTGCTAATGTGGGAGGTACGAGAAGACTCGATACGTGCCTTGTCTTCAACTCTGAACAAGCTGACACGATCACCGTTTAGGAAATCAAACCGACCATGATCGAGCCCTTGAAGGGAAAGCAGACTCTCAAAGCTGCCGAGCTTCAAGATGGTGATATCATTTGCTTCCAACGCACATCCGACAAGAAGGCGGAGAATGGGCGCGTTGCAGACAAGGCATCCCAAGAAGCGTATGTTACTCTTCGTTCCATCTTCACTGACGCATGCCTGCAGGCCGGCAGGCGCGCAGGCACGCAACTCTTTCTTTCACGGTGACTAACCTTCGCTCAGAAACAAATGGTCGGACCGCGTCGAGGATGCTCGTGAATACTATGACTTCCTTGAACATAAGCGAACCATCAAGTTTCACGCTCACCCTACCAGATCCGACCCCGCACAATACCCCCCATTCGAGCTTGTCCTCAACTCAAAGATCACCTACGACGTCTTGGTTGAGCGCGTTGGCGCTCACCTTCAAGCTCCCTCAACACATATCCGGTTATGGACGGTTAATGCAAGCACGAATAACCCCAAGACTCCCGTAAGACGGGGCACAAATCCCACACTGCGACAGATCTTGAGTCCCATGGGCTCCAATACGCTGAATGCGACGCAGAGGAACGATGCTTTCTACTTTGAGGTGCTGGAGATGAGCTTGGCTGAGCTTGATACCAAGAAGAATATCAAAGTCACATGGTTGAGCGAGGGTATCACAAAAGAGGTACGTGTTGGACAGTATCCGGCTCATGATCACAGGTTTCAGCCATACTAACGTTCGTTACACTCAAGGAACAATTCGACTTGCTGGTATCGAAGACTGGGACCATAGAGGACTTGATACAAGCATTGGTCAAGAAGGCCAAGATTCCAGACGAGGCCGAAGGCGGACGGATACGGGTCTACGAAACGAGTTCTAACAGATTCTATCGGGAACCAGCTCGTGACCAGCCTGTCATGAACCTCAACGAGTATACCCAGATCTTTGCCGAGCGAATTCCGGAAGAAGAGAAGGCGGCCGATGAGAACAACTTCATTCACGTCTTCCACTTCCAGAATGAAGTCAACAGAGTCCACGGCGTTCCGTTCAAGTTCCTTCTCGTGGAGGTGAGTACATTTGAGGTAGTTGTCCGTTACGCTGTATACATGATCACTAACGCATTATCCAGGGCGAGAAATTTGCCGACACGAAGAAGAGGCTTGAGAAGAGGACAGGTATCAAGGGCAAGAGCTTCGAAAAGATCAAGTTCGCTATTGCAAGGAGGGCAAACTACTCGAAACCACAATATCTGAATGATGGTGAGTCCCCCGCTTCCACATGTCGGCAAGCATGCCTCTGTACTGACCACGGCCTACGATGTAGACGACGAGTTATGGAACATAGCCTCCTCTGAAGATGACTACCTTGGTTTTGACCACCCAGATAGAACGAGATCGCTGAGGAACGGCGTTGGGGATCTTTTCCTTCGTTAGGCGACGGTGTACGAGCTGAGCCCGTGTCGACGATACAACTCGCAGCGACGTCGAAAAGACTTGGTAACTGGCTCCAGGAGTCTTTGGTATATCTTGCTTTATACCCATCCATCATACCAACGTGGTTTGTGTCCTTGCCATGAGGCAGTGGGTGCTTCTTATTGCTTGTACTTTTTTTGGCCCCCTTTTTTTGCTTCATCGTCTCAAAGCATGCATGTGGCGACGCATGAAATGCCGGCGAAGGGTGGATGAGATTTGTTCTGATACAATATCAATACAATGAGCATATTGGATCGAAGTGGTCTCCAGCATTGGCTCTGATGATGGCTACATGTTTGTTCTCAAGTCTGTATCACAAATATTGTATTATTACCAAGCAAATAATCCAAGCCTGTTGCTAACGCCTCGTGATTGTTTGCAGTGGCCATCCAAGGTGACTGCTTCACGACGCCTTGGTGCCCTCACAATCTCTTTCTCTTTTGCCTTCTTGAAAAACTCGATTCTAACGAAACCATTTCACAAAGCATCCCTTCTGTTTATATTTCACATTGCATCCGCAGATTATGACTTTTCTTGGCGATATTTGGCCAGAGGTCCCCTCTCAATCTCCTCGACGGAGAGATGTGCGCCAGCCGTCTTGAGAAGTTGAGCGCAATCTTCTTTACCCGAGAGCGTGGCCAGGAAGAGGGGCGAGTTGTCGGCCCTGTTGCGCTCGTGGACGCTGGCGCCGCGCTTGAGCAACTCGAGCATGATCTCGGTGTTGCCCGTGACGGCAGCGAGGTGGACAGCGGTGTTGCCGGCGTAGTCAGCGCTCTTGAGGAGCTGGCTGCCCTCGCCCTCGAGCAGCTGCTTGACGACGTCAATCTCGCCGTTCTGGATGGCGTAGCCGAGGGCGGCGAAGGCGGACTCGACGGGGGTGAGGCGGGCGGCGGCGTCGAGGGGCGGGGTGGGGTGGGAGAAGCTTGGGTGGGCGATCTCGGTCATCTCGCCGCGCAGGGAGCGGGAGAAGCCTTTTGGGAGAGACCCGGCAGGGCGAGGAGGTGGGAGAGCTTCGCGAGGGCGGCCTCGGCGGTGAGGTCGAGGCCGAAGATGACGCCGACGCGGCCGAGCTGGGTGCCGGGGGCGTAGACGGGGGAGACGAAGCCGTTGACGCACTGGCTGACGTTTACGACGATGATGCCGCGGTCGACGGCGGAGCGGATGACGTCTGTGAGGCGGCCGCCGACGCCGCCGGGGACGTTGCCCATGCCGAAGGTCTCGAGGATGAGGCCGCGGAGGTCGGGCAGGTGGAGGACGGCGTCGACCATCTCGGGCTTGATGCCGGGGAAGACGCGCAGGCAGGCGACGTGGGTGGTGTCGAGGTGCTTGAAGACGTCGAAGCCGGCGATGGTGGTGGGCCGCAGGACGAGGTGCCAGTTGACGTTTACGCCGAGGCCGTTGACCCTGGCGAGGGGCTCGCAGTTTGGGCTGGCGAAGGCGTCGAAGGAGGCGGCGGAGACCTTTGTGGTGCGGTTGCCGCGGTAGAGGGTGTCGCGGAAGAAGAGGCAGACCTCGGGGATGACGAAGGTGCCGGCGATGATGAGGGAGCCGAGCAGGTTGTCGACGGCGTCGGACTGGAGGGCGAAGATGGGCGCCTGGGAGCCGGTGAGGATGACGGGCTTGCCGAGGTTGGCGAGCATGAAGGACAGGGCCGAAGCCGTGTAGGCGAGGGAGTCGGTGCCGTGGAGGATGACGAAGCCGTCGAAGAGGTGGTAGTTGTCCTTGATGGCCGTGGCCATGTTGGCCCAGTCGGCGGCGGAGATGCTGCTCGAGTCGAGCAGGGGGTTGAACTCGAGGACGGAGTAGCGGACGTGGCGCTTGTAGGCCGTCGGGGGGGTGCGTAGGCTGTCGAGCTGGACCATCTCGCCGCTGCGGCAGGCTTGAAGTTTGACTTGAGATGAGATGTTAGCTTTTTTTCTTCTTCTTTGAATGAGAACTCTCTCAAGTTTACGTGGGATGCAAATGCATGACGGAGTGAGTGAGTCGCAGATCAGTCATGCTTGGATCCTTATAAGAGAGAGCTGACTCTCATCCTCTCTTGACTTGAACTGATACACCCAAACGGCAACCAACAATGTCAAACTCACCACTGGGCTCTGAAAAGTCATTAAACGTCGTCCTGGGCGCCATGGCGCTCTCGAGGAATCCCTCGCTGGGCGCAAGGCCGTCGGGCCCTTCCTGCATGCATATCGTGCCTCCGGTGCCGATGATGAGGACCCGGGACTCGGGCAGGCCGGCGTTGAGGGGAGGCGAGTTGGTGATGGCGGGCGACATTGTCCGGCGATGCAGGTTTGGGACTTGCTTGAAGATGAAGAATGAATGGGTTTGACAAGAAGATGAAGGACGATGGCGATGGGGGATTCTTCAATTGGTTAGAAAAAGAAATCGTAATGAGGTCGCACAGGAAGGAGGTTGAACGAGCTGGTCGTCCGGCTTCTTATCAATGTGAGGTACCTCGCGGCGTACTTATACCCCAGATAAGGAGAGTTGAGTTATGACAGGGCTGGACTAGAGGCGTTCCGACAGTCCTTCCAACCAGGGCGCTTCGTAGAGTATCTATTACGAGAAGTCTCGTCATGCGGACAGCGAGAAAAAGGAAAAGGATGAGGAAAAGAAAGGAAGAGAAAAGGCCGGGGGGAGGGCATTGCACATGCTGCAGCTATCTGTGCTTGTTGTGTAAAAAAAGTCTATTAGAGGCGGCCGGGGAGTGGATACGAAGGGGTAATGGAATCTCGAAATCGGAGGAGGTGAGAATTTCTTGTGACTTGGGGGCTGTTGGCTGGCTGGGGGGGTTGCTTATTGGCGAGCCAGGACGAATGAAGCTGTCATGGAACACGGATGAGAGTGTGTATAATGGTTCGGGGGACTATGTTGTTAACAAGCTGTGTGAGGTGAGTTATAACAGGTGGTCATTGTAGGCGATGATGGGCCATGACCTGCAGAACAAGGGCCGTCTTGTTGGATAAGAATCAGGTAGTACTACCTTAACGTCTGTAATACTACAACTACCTACTTGCTGCTGCTAACGCAGACGGGCTGGGCTTGTTTGCGTAGGAGCGGCTTCGGCTCCGTTCCGTATTACTAGTAGTCTTGCGCAGTTGATACTGTCCCCAATCGAGATCCGGAATGGTGATCCTGACCAGGTACTGCAGACTTGTAGTTTCTATGCTTGTCCAGCGAGGTACCGGCAGATGCAGACGTTTTGATACGAAGACACAACACACAGTAGCATCCGAGACTCGGCAAGGGTGCAGCAAGATGCATGCATCGGTACAACCCGGAAGTACATGCTGAGCAGCTGTAGAGCTTGAAAGGTCGAGCATACGTCACTCTACCAAAAGGTACCTACCTAGGCACTAAGACCAGAAACCTGTGTTGGCCCCAAAGGAGACAAAGACGATTCGCAGATTCACCACTTCGATCGAGGCAGAACCGTCATCATCTTTTGTTTCTATTTGCCTCTCTTGTCCAGTCTCACAATTTTTGTGCATCAATTGTGTCGTGGCTGTTTATCAAATCAGACACACAATGCAAGACAAAGGGTCGAACTGTGCTCCGACAAGTACCTTGGCTTGGGCACCTCCGAGAACTCGCTCAACTGTCAACGCAGTACAGCCCAGGCACTGCAGCGTCCCGCAGCCACATGCCGGCGGCCAATGTACAATCCAGGTACAGCTCCACCGCCGGCCCTCTCTCCCATCCGATTGGGATAAGCGCAAACCCTCGCAACGCCATCTCTTGACTGTGTGCTCAGCGCCGACTCGGTACATGGAAACCTTCTTTTTTTCCTTTCCTTCAACTTCCAGCTGTTCTCAACAATTCTTCGCTCCTCTCCTCTCTCCTCTCTTCATTCTGCTTGTCACCATCGCTACCCCTATAGATAGCGAGAGCATCATCAAGCAACTCGCCCGACTTTGCCGCTGCTGAGACCTCTTTGAGCCACCATCGTCAGTTCGCCATCCGCTTCCTCAACAGCGCTCTTGCGGGGGTTCGACAGACCCAGGAGGAGAACAATGCGCGCCCATCACACCACGACTCTCTCATAAAACGCGCCTCGTCCACGCAAAGCAGGAGTCGCTTCTTCATTTTCCGCCCTCGTCAGCCATCGTCGACGCCTTGGTCCGCCTGTCTTTGATTCCGCGATCCGAGGCCGTCACCAACTCGACTCGACGAACCCGGCGCGCGTCATGGATCGGCCACCCGAGACCACCCCCGGCGGCACCTCGCCGCGAACCTTTGCCCTGAACCATGCCAGGCCAAAGTCCAGCTTCCAAGGCTGCTCGCGCATCTCCGACTATGAGTTACAAGGCAAACTGGGCGAGGGTACCTTTGGGTACGGCAGGCTCCTTGTCCCTCGCGTAGCAACGGCAATGACCAGCAATGGAGGCTAACCCCAACAATTCTACTGCAGTGAGGTCCATCGCGCTCGATCACGCAAGACGGGCGCTCTCGTCGCCTTGAAGAAGATTATCATGCATCACGAAAAAGACGGCGTAGGTGGCGCCACCACGAACCGACGACATTCGTCTTTCTTCTGACTGACTGGCCTCAGTTTCCCATCACCGCCCTGCGAGAAATCAAGCTTCTCAAGCTGCTATCACATCCCAACATTTTGAGACTTGAAGACATGGCTGTAGAGCACCCCACGAGACAGAGTGAGTGCTCCCTGATTGCTTCTTTTGTCCTTCCAGCCCATCTCGCAGCCTTAGACTCCAAGACTGACCGAGTCATGCGCAGCCGACAAGCGCAAGAAACCCATCATGTACATGGTGACGCCGTACATGGATCACGACCTTTCGGGCCTCCTCGATAACCCCTCCGTACACTTCAAGGAGGCTCAGATCAAGTGCTACATGCTCCAGCTTCTGCAGGGTCTGCGCTACCTTCACGAAAACCACGTCCTGCATCGAGATATGAAGGCCGCCAACCTTCTCATCAACAACAAGGGCATCCTTCAGATTGCTGATTTTGGCCTGGCTCGTCACTACGATGGGCCAACACCCAGGGCTGGCCATCCTGTGGGAGAAGGCCGACGAGACTACACTGGCTTGGTGGTAACAAGGTGGTATCGACCCCCCGAGCTTCTGCTGCAGCTCAGGCAATATACCACCGCTATCGATGTTTGGGGTGTTGGGTAAGAATATCTCTGCTTTTGCTCATCTTCTTCCTTTCTGCAGTTACTCGCATGCTATCTTCTTCGTGATAGTCTTGGGACCAACGAAGCTAATTCCCTACAGCTGTGTTTTCGGAGAAATGCTGTTCGGCAAGCCCATCCTTGCGGGCGAGAGTGACGCTCATCAACTCGAGCTCATCTGGGATCTCATGGGCTCGCCCACTGATGAGAATATGCCCGGATGGAAGAACCTGCCCGGGGGTGACCATCTGTCCCCTAGACCACGACCAGGCAATCTTCAGAGCCGATTTAGAGAGTATGCTGCCCCTTGCCGCCGTTTCGTCTATCTAGTGAACTATAAGCTAACATGCTGCTTCTCACTTTCTAGATACGGTCCCGGGGCAATTTCTTTACTTAAAGACCTATTGAAACTGGATTGGAAGACGCGGATAAACGCCGTGGATGCATTGCAACATCCATACTTCAAGAAAGAGCCCCTGCCACTGGAGCCACATCAGCTTCCAACCTACGAGGAGAGTCACGAGCTTGACCGGAGAAAGTTTCACGACCGCAAGGCGGCCCTCCCCCCTGCTCCCAAGGGAGGAACAGTTGGTCTGGGGCCGGATGCGAACGGAGCAACCGCCGGTTTCAACAGCAGCGACGCCTACGGAAGTGGCCGAAGCGGTGTCAACGGAGGACGCTTCAGAGGCCCCGATGACAGGCGACCGGCTTGGCGAGAGCGCGGGCCTCCATCGCGACCTCCCCAGGACCGTCCGCCCAATTGGGACGATGATCGAGACCGGGATCGACCGCCTCGCAGCCGCGGGCCGGGCCGGGGGCCAGATATAGACACGTACATTCCGAGCTACAACCGGGAAGAGGCCGGAAGTCGGCGCAGGGATGATGACCGGCCTCGTGATGATCGACGACGCCCAACTAGCAAGGACAGCGGCCGACGATACGATAGAGACCGGCGAACAAGGAGTCGAAGCCGCTCGCCCATGCACGACAGGACCCGCGATCGAGACATGTATCGACGATGAATTTCGCCAAGGACCTCACAACATCATAGACATACAAACCATATATATGCAAAATGTATATGGTCAGGAGTGGCTGGCTTTGGCTCAAGCCATTTTGCACTTTTATGATATCCCATGAAAATAGTTTCTCTGCCATTATGCCTTTTTTTCCTCTTCTTCCTTTTTCTTCTTCGATATTACCGCTCTAGGGATTAGGAGGTGGAATGGCGTTGGAGGCAAACAGCGCGGAGAGATGCAAAAAACTGAGCCTGATTTTTGTCGCTAATGCCCGAGTGTCTGGCTTCCATTGGCATTGGCAGTGAAAGGAGTGGTGGTTACCATCACGGGGGCTGAGGACAAGAGCATTGAGTCTATGAAGCCAGCGTGATAAAAAAATGAATCTGATGCAGAAAAGAGATCGCTTCAATGCCAAAACAATATGAGTGCACGACTAGCTATTGTGAAATGATGAAACAATACCAGCAGATATCAGGCATCAGAGTCGTCCTCTTCTTCCAGAATCGTCTGTGACAGGAGCCCAGTTGCAGGACGGCGCCTCGAAGGAGAAGGATCCGTCGGCCAGTACCACTCGCCTTCATTGGAAGACGAGTCATCCTTGACAAGGGTGTTATTGGACGAGGAGAGATAATCCTTGTCTTGGGGGTTGCGAGAGCGAGCTTCTTTGCCGTTCACGTTGCTCCTAGTAATAATGTCTCCTTGCATGCCGAGGTAGGAGGTGATGACGGTGGAGGACGTGGCGAGGGCGAGGCCGGCCAGGGCTCCGACGAGGGCGGCGGTAGCGAGCTATTTTGGTGTGCAGGTGAGGATTGGGTTAGTTTTGAGGTTTTACTTACATTGGACGTTTGGGTTAAGCGTTTGTTGCTTCGTTTGAGGTGACGATGGGAATGGAAGAAGGGGGAGGAGGAGGAGGAGGAAAGACGTACGAATGTGTATATTGGCTATTTGGCGGGTTTGATAAGAGGCGTTTGGTTAGCAAGCAAGCTCTCATTCATTTCACTAACACATCTTGACGACGAAACGAGTGAACATGATGAAAAAGCACACACACCTGGAGAGCAGTGATCAAGTCAACGACTCCGCGCAACCAGCCGGCTACATACGCGATGAGGTAAAAGACGGGGAAGAAGACGATGCGCAGGGCGCTCAAGAGGTACGACAGGAGGTACGACAGGGGGTTCCAGATGAGCAGTCGGAGGGGCAGCGTGAGGAGGCGGCCGAGGAGGGCGATGTAGCGGCCGATGAGGCGGAGGGAGTCGAATATGGTGGACGTGTCCATTGGCTTTGTATGTATGTATGTGTGTGTGTGTGGTTTTTTGTTCTGAGAAGGAGGTATGAGGAGGATGGGGGGGTTTGTTTTGGGCATGAGAGAGGGAGAGACAAGTGGTGAGGTATGATGAGGCATGTGAAGGGGGGTTGGTGATGGTCAGGCACAGTGAAGAGGTACGTACTTTGGAGTTGTCACTTCAAGTTTGGAGGGGTGTGTGGCTGGGGTAGAATGTGGCGGGTGCTTAACCTGGAGATTTTTGGATGTGGACGCTTTACGATACATAAGGTACAGAGGCTCTTCTTTCTTTTGACGGGACGGGATAGGTGACGTTCTGAGATTGGAGTGGAAGAGGGGCTGCTTTCATTTCCAATGCTGGTCTATGGTGATGTATGATGAACGGCTACTGAGGTGGATGTTGGAGTTGCTTTTGGATTGGAGCTGATGCTTGGTCTGGTGGATGACAGATGGCGGCAGCTTAAGTTCTTGGATTCGGCTAACGCTCTCAGACAGTACAAAGGAACTGCAGACACTATCTCGAAAAGTAGCTCTGCATAAGTGAGTCGCGTGTCGCCTGATGCAAATTGAAGAAATCGGCATGGAATGGACTATTATTTGGCCTGGCTAAAGAATTGTACCTAACTTGTGTGCGAGGGACTACCTAATGGCAGTACTGACTGAGAGGTGTGGCGGTTGCTTGGACCACTGAGGTATGAAAGTTCAAGGCTTGAGGCTCTACTAAGCTGCAGTGGTTCGTGACAGGCTTCTGTTCTGAGCTTGCAGGATACCTTGTCCTCTACCATCTCAATGGCGCTGAACAAGACGAATTACCTTGTTCTTTCTTATATCGAAAGGTGCATACTTAGATGCATGCAAACAAGTGTTGGGAGTACTGCTCCTTCAAAGCCCATGATGTCGTCACTGCAAGGACCCGGATGTGGTCCAGCTTCAATGGCAGGTACAAAGATACCTTACCTCATCCTTTTTGCTTGCGGAACAACAAACTTGCGATAAGAACATAAAGGGCCAAAATCCCCCACTTCCAAACACCCCCTCCGACACGGCCTTGGATCCTACTGGCCCAAACCCACGATCGTCTCCTGCAGACGGGCGGCCACGAGACGACACGACAGCGCAAAGGGACCAGCCCAGAATCTACAGAGGACAAGGCAGTGAACGGAACCCCCACGAGCAGCATCTGCAGACGCCCGAAGGGAGGAACCCGTGCCGCTACAGTTCAGTTGCAGCACTGTGCTCGGTAGAGCTAGTTCTTCGAGTCGTGCATTTGCATCCATACCTTGACAGTGCCAAAAGGCCCGGCATTCCCACCCGCGTGCCCCGGATCTGGGAATCAGCTGGGCGGAATTGGCGGAATTGCCTTGATTGAACTGCTGGCTGCGTCGTTGATCGATCCAAGTCCAAGGGGTCCCAAGGGTCCTGTCGAGTACTATCATCTATCGTCTGCATGCCCGTCCTGCCGCCTGTCGGGGTCTCGCCACAAGCCAAGCGACTGCACGGGACCGACAAGCTCGGCCCCCCAAGCATCCATCATCCTGGGGAGCCGATCTAGATCATCCATCTACTACTCCATCACCTACCGCCATCTCTCCCGCACAGGCTGGACTCACTCGCACAAACACAGACACTGACACAGAACTCGGACGCGGACCGAACCAGACAGTGACTGACACGCATCGCATCGAGATCACCCCCACCGCCGCTCGATCCTCTCAGCAGCCCGCAGTCCAACCACGTTGTCGCAAGCATCGTCACGCGAGTCTCCCCCGCTGACCCCAGCCCTGCTCGCCAGCGCCTCTGTGCAACGGCCAGCCGCCAACCGGCCGCCTCTGCAACCCCCCTCTGCTCCCGCTAGCAGCCCATCCTCTCTGCTGCCCGGGACTTTGTTGTCTTCTCTCCTCCCGCTCGCTTCCCACGTCCCTGCCGCCACCCCCTGGTCGGGTCCCAAAACCATGGGTAACAACCATTCGGCGTCGGCCAACAAGGCGGGCGGGCCCGGGTCGCCTCCGCAGCAGCAGCAGCAGCAGCAGTCAGACACGGTCGACTCTCCTCGCCAGCCTCAGCATCGCAGGGACGGCTCCCGCAACGTCATCCCCGTCCACGCTGCCCGCGCCGCCGCCGCCCCGGAATCCTCCTCGGCGACTCCCTCCTCTGCCGCCACCGCCCGTCCAAGAACCCGAACCCGTGCCTCCGCCGCTACCTCGGGACCCGGACCTCGCTCCTCCCAAGCNCCCTGCCGCCCCTACACTCCCGCGCGGTGCCTCGGGAGCTACCCGTGCCGTTGCCCGAACCTCCCGAGCAGCGCGTGTTACCCAGCGCCGAGCCTCCCGAAGAGCGACGGCCGCCGCTGCCGCCGGCAGTGCCGCCGCCGCCGCAAACGCTGCCTCCTCTGCAACGACGACACGCCGCTCGGCGAGCCCTATCTCGAGTCCCAGTACTTTTCCAACAGTAGCCTGACGGACATGTACATGATGCGCCCGCCTCGCCTGCCGCTTCCCATCGAGGAGGAGGTGCACACGCCTGGGTCGCCCATCCTCGGGCCCGACGAGAGCTTCGCAGATCTCGACCTCGGCGAGACGTCGGAGGCTTTGACGAGGAAGAGCTCCGCGCTGAGCGCCGGCACGGCCGAGGACGACGAGGGCGAAGAACTGCGCGTAGACAAGACCAGGCCCGTCGTGGCCACCAGGATTGAGTGGAGGGGTGGTGGTGAAAAGATCTGGGTGACGGGAACGATTTTCCACTGGAATCGCAAGCTACGGCTGCGTCCCGTGTAAGTTGTCATGATGATTTCGGGCATGCTCCTTTGTGCAATGCAGCTGTCCAATGTCTGCGTCGTCTTGGACTTTGTGCTAACGCGATGATGCCCCTTTGATAGCGAGGGCCAGCCTGGTCTTTCTGCTGCCACTGTCCACGTTCTGCCCGGGACCCATCACATCCGCTTCTTGGTCGATGGTATCATGCAGACCTCGCCCGATCTTCCCACCACGGTCGACTTTGGCAACAACCTGGTCAACTACATCGAAGTCAGCCCCGATGGCGCCTCAGCAGCGGCCAAGGAAGGCGAAGCGGCCAAGGCGGCCGAGGCCGGAAAGGACAACAAGGATGGGTCTCGCGCCGATGCCCAGTCCAAGGAGGAGCCCAAGGTGGCCCGGGGCAAGCCCGTCTTGCCGCAGGAGGCCTACACCAGCGAGATCCCGCAGTACCTGCTCGACTTTGACCAGCCCGAGGAGTCGCCGGCCTACCGCAGCGCCGTGGCCGCCATTGAAAAGCTGACGACGCCGCCGAGTCTGCCCGGATTCCTGGGCAAACCGATCCTCAATGCTGCCACCCTCTTGAAGGATGACAACAGCGTCCTGAACATGCCCAACCATACTGTCCTGAATCACCTTGCCACCAGCAGCATCAAGAACAATGTCTTGGCCGTGTCAGCAACGACTAGATATCACAACAAGGTGGGCTGAAACCCGGAGACAGGATGGGGTTATTCATACTTGTGAGAGAAATTGTGCTAACAATTGCCTGCTGTATAGTATGTCACTACAATCATCTACAAGCCTACCTCCACAGACGAGGGTTAGATGGGCCCCCCATTCGAACAAAGAATGGGACAAAAGAACGATTATGTGGTTGGGGAATGAAGATGGCAGCTAAATGACAGTTGACGTGTACTATTTTATTTTTGTTTTCCCCCCCTCTTGCAGTACCCTCTACACTCCGTTTTATAATGACCGGGGTAGTATTCTGTTGCATTTTGTTCCTTCCATCGCCGCGATCTAAGGCTGTGTCTCGACGATGGGGGGAACGTCAGACTGTGTGAGTTGTCACTAGTTATATGTTGAGCTAGTTATAGTGATGTAGGAAGTTGGATGCGGTAGAAGCTCCAAGAGGTTCGCAATGAACCGAATCAAGATAGATACCTAGATGGGCAAATATGGTAGGTATGGGATGGATGTTTAGCACACAATATAGTGCAATTTTGCTCTTTATACCCAGGGCCCCTTGGATATTTCGCCTTCCCACTATAAAAGATCTCATATGCGCCTTGTCTTTCTTTTGTCTATTGTTTTGGGGGTTTATGGTTTATTTTACTATTTTCTTTTCGTTGCCATCTTCCAAGGGGACCCCCTAATCTCTCCATTCGACATAGACATCGTCCGTCCTAAAGCGCTGCGTACACACGCTCTCCTCGAGCTTCGTGCGGAAGCCCGTCCTGTACGCCAGCAGCCCCGCGTGGGCAATCATGATGCCGTTGTCGATGCAGAACCTCTCGTCCATGGCGAAGACGCTGCCGCCGCGCTCCTTGGCCATGCTGGCAATCATGTCCTGCAGGCGCTCGTTGCAGCCGACGCCGCCGACGATGAGCACCTGGCTGCTGCCGACGTGGGCCATGGCGCGCTCCGTGATCTCGACGAGCATGGCGAATATCGTCTCCTGCAGGGAGAAGCAGAGGTCCTCGACGGTGAAGCCGGCGGCGTCGGGGCCGAGCTGCAGCAGCTGGGCGGCCAGGGCCTCGGCGCTGGCGAGGATGCCCGAGAAGGAGCAGTCCATGCCCTTGACGACGTAGGGCAGGTCGAGCAGGCGGACGCCCTTCTTGGCCAGCTGCTCGATGTTGTAGCCGGGGGCCGGGTCGTTGCTGATGCTGAGGACGCGGGCGAAGCGGTCGAGGCAGTTGCCGACGGCGATGTCGAGCGTCTCGCCAAAGATGCGGTAGCGGCGCTCGGCGTAGGCGATGACCTGGGAGTTGCCGCCGCTGACGTAGAGCACGACGGGGTTGTCGGCGCCCGTCACCTCGCGGCCCATCTCGATGTGGCCGACGCAGTGGTTGACGCCGACGAGGGGCCGGTCCCAGAGCAGGGAGAGGGTACGGGCGCCGATGGCGACGCTCGTCAGGGGCGCGCCCATTCCCGGGCCCTGCGTGAAGCAGACGCAGTCGACGTCGGCGGGCGAGACGCCGGCCTCGGCCAGGGCGCGGCGGGCCAGCGCGACGAACTCGGTGCGGTGGTGCAGCGCCGTGTCCTTGGGCAGGAAGCCCGTGCCGGGAGGGGAGATGAAGGTGTGGCGGAGGTTGGAGAGGATCGTCGTCGACGTGGGTGTGTGCCGGATCAGGCCTATGCCGAGCTTGTTGGCGGAGCCCTCGCACCCGAGGGCGATCCAGGAGGATTTGGAGGGCATGGGTGCTGTTGCTGTTGTTGTTGTTGTTGTGTTTGATGTTGTGGCTGTGGTTGTCGAGGGAGATGTGGAGGGTTGTAGTAGCGAGGGGATGGCGGCAGCGGCAACGGCGGCCATGCTGGGCGACTTGAGACTGCTGTGTTGTGAATGTGCTGTAAAGTAGACGAAGAGATGCGAGAGACGGGTTCAAGCAGTCTATATGCGATGCGCCGAGCTTTGCGACATGTGAGCTACTGCTCAACGTCCAGAGTATTGTGCGCTTCGTGAAGCGGGGATGTGTAAGTGATTTCCGCGGTATCGGCTCTGGATCGCGCTGTGCCCTGGCAGGAAGTAGTAGCAGTCTAATTAATTGACCAACAT